AACGCGCACGCCACATCCGTCGAAACGGTGCGGTAACCGCGTATGGCTCTGACCGCCATTACCCTCTGAGGGCGCCAGAGGCGTACCCTATTCTGGGCGGTCAGAGCCGCCGCCCACACCGGTGCACCGTACAGTGCCATTGACCGGACAACCCCCGTGTACAGCCGTCTTGTCGCGACGCTGGGTCCACCCATATTGGGCAAAAGTCGCCCTAGGGCAGACGCAGCGCCGACCAGCTTTGGAGCAAGCTGTCGGAAGTGCTCGTCGAAGAGCCACCTCCCGTCGAGGATCAGGCCCAGATATTTCATCTGGGCCCGAACCGGTACGAGGACCGAGTTGACCACGATTGAGGCGCCAGGGGGTGGACCACGACGGGGCCCATGGAATAACAGGGCCTCCGTCTTATCTAGGGCCACCCGTAAGCCCAGCGCCTCAATGCGCCCGACCACCAGGGAGACTCCCCCTGTGGCCAGGCGCGCCGCCTCTTGGAAGTTTGCCCCCCGGGCTGTCACGAGGGTATCGTCTGCGTAACAGATTACACCCAGCCCGGGGGGGAAATCGGCGCGAAGGGCCCAGTCGTACCCTATGTTCCACAAGAGGGGTCCAAGAACAGACCCCTGTGGAACACCGCACGACATGGGCCGACACCTCAGATTACCTTCTCGGTCCTCGTACACGACGGTACGCTCCTCTAAATAGTCTGCCACTAGCCGCCTCAGGTACTTTGGCACCCCATGATAGTGGAGTGCTTCCCTGATGCAGCTGAATGGCAGACTATTGAATGCGTTGGCGATGTCCAGTGACACCGCCAACAGCACGCCGCCACAGCTCACGGCCTCTTCGGTCACGGCCCTCAGGCGCAACACGGCGTCGACTGTCGAACGCCCCGCCCGAAAACCAAACTGGGCGTCCGACAGATCGGGGCCCACCTCGCAGAGGTGCCGGACGATGCGGGCAGAAAGAACCCTCTCAAACAATTTGCCCGCCTCGTCCAGCAGCACGATGGGCCTATAGGCCGCGACCGAATCGGCTGGCCGTCCCGGCTTCCTCAATAGGACCAGCTTCCCGAGGGTTTGTAACCCTACACCAACCTTTAGGCTAACACAGTAGATGATAATTAAAGCGGTGTATTGTAATGCGATAAAAAAAGGATTTTGTTGCCACCATGTTCAATATGAATGATCAATATGTATAACAAGATGAGAAATGCCTCATTCGAACAAAGTCAATAATTACTATGACTAATAAAGCAAGCAGATTATAATTGCTTGCAGTAGTTAACTATAATTTCTTGTCTATTAAGGTTTCATCTCAAAATAAATATTCACATAATCCATAGATAATTGCTTAATATCTGGATGTACTTTAAGTTCGTTAATTGCATCAAATCAAAACGACCAATATATACAAATGCGCCATACATTTATATTTTGGTTAACCACAACAAATCGGACACGAAAAGTTATGCTTAAGGAATTAATCCGATTTCGTTTCTCTTAGTTCTGGTGTATAGCTAGGATCCATACTCGGCCCATTGTTATTATTACTTGTTATAAATACTATTCCCAACTGTTTTAAGTTTTGTGATTCGGTCCGACCCGGGAATCAAACCCAAGACCTTCGGATAGCAGTCGCATACGTTATCAATACACCACCGAGGCAGTCAAGACCTCCATAGGTCCTATAGGTTAATGTTACTGCCAAATAAGGAAACTTAGTTTATCATACCTATCTCAGCTGGAATATTAAATACTATATTTTAAAAGTAATCTGTATTTAACTGGGTTAGTACCTCAGATAATAAGTAGTGTAAATCATGTATTTATTTGTAAAACAGCTGTAGTTACTGTTTATCAATTTAAGAAATAAATTTAAATAAAATAACTTAGTGTGTCGCAAACTGCCGGCAGTGTAGATAATTATATGAGTTGTATGTTTTTTCATAAATGTTTTTCATACCAATATTTATTTGAAGAATACTTATACATTGATTTTTTACACGTCATAAAACGTTTATCAAGAACGTTCTTAAAATACTGAAACGTTAGTTCTTGCAAAATTTTTGTGGGTAAAAAATTGTAACAGTTTCCGTGGTCGGTTTCGCTATGAAGTAATCTGCGGGAATGCACTAATGGTCGGTTGCAGAGCGAACACGGCGTGTAATGTGCAATTTGCAAGCAGCCATTGAGCGGTCACGCGACGTCGTGACGCCGCGCGCCACACACCAATCGCCCGCCACAGCCACTACTCATCTCCTCTACATCCATGCCACATTCTTGTCACAAATACGACATAAAATCTTATTAAAAACTTGTTTTATCATTACAAAAATTTCATCGAATATGAGTGATAAATATTAGAACTAGTTAAAGAAATCTATTAAGTAATATTACGTTGGATACGTTAAAAAAGTAGAGGCACAGCAAGTATCTTAATGCGGGCACAGATCTTCTAGTATTTATATTTTGAAACGTGGACGGAAACGTTTTATTTTACTATTCGTTATTTGAGCCTTGGTTTTACACTACTGTTAAAATTAAACATCTCGCTTCGCGTATTTAAGTCCACCACTTTTCCAGAGTGACGTTTTGATATTACAGATGTTTTGATTTTAGTTAAGTTATTCAGGTCGAAATAGTTGTTTAAGGTTTAAATAATTCGGAAAGAGCTGAAAAATGGTACTAATGTTGGGGAAAATCATTATAAATGAAAAATGAAAAGTCTTCATCTGAGTAACTTTTTTTGTGCATTTTTCAACAAACTGGTAAGTAAATTGTTGCCGTTTAAGTCTAAGATTTTTCAAATTTAACCATTTAGCAGGTAAATCCAAACCTATAGGGTACTCCCTGTTGATAGAACTATAGATAGACCTAAAAGTTTTAAAGTACATGCAAAAAAAAACTGAGCTGACTGCTAGTGAATTAAACAGAGATTTTTAAATATGGCCGCTGTAGCCCAAGCACTAATGCACGCGTAACTTTTAACCTTTACTTTTGACATTTCACTCTGGTATAGGACGTTCATTATTTCGCCTAGTTTCTAGCAAATGAACCGCTTTTGTTCATAGTGCGCCATTCAACAGTATGTACCTACTCCTTGGGCGCTTGCTTCGAGTCTCGCAAACTTCCTACTACTTAATACATACATTCGCCAAGTACTAAACATAATATGCAACGCCTAATAGGGTCTCGGTATAAATAGGAACTCCGAATGTAACATTGTTCTTGACATTGCTTTACTGTAGATTATTAATTTTCTTCGTTACAGTAATAATTATCTTAAGGTACTAATATATATATATATAATAGGTATAAAATTTTGTTTATGTGTGATTTTTTCAATATAATAAGTGTTGAATAGCCATGAGCGCAGCCGCGTAGGAACGTAAAGTGGTTGCGGTAATGAGCAAACACCCTTCATTATCAGGTTCTGCGACATTAGGCGCAGGCATGCCTCGTCGACTCTTTCCGAGTCGTCTCTTTACCCTATCTTTCCCGCCCACTGATGTGTAAACTTTATTATACATATAATAATGAAGCTTATTTACAATAAAACTTTTGATATCTACGGCAGCTTGTCTATAGTAATTAAATGATAGACAGTTTCAACCCCAATTTGCAAATTCCAGGACAGTCTATAAACATTTAAAAAACAGATATTCGAAGTACTGAGCGTTTATTATATTATAGTAACAAATCTTAATTTTATCACTTATTGTAATTGTATATAAGTTAATCAATAAAAATATTATAAGGGAATTCACTTGATACATGTCTCATCTTATAGAACACTAATTACCAATCCGTGTACAATCAAACAATCCGTATCATAATTGTGATACCCTTAACTCTCAAGACAGGCACGTAAATGAAAAACACATAGCAATGAACTTTTACTAGTTTTTATAAGATATATCCTAAAATATATCTTTTCATGTACCAACAATAATGCACTGTATTCATAAACTGTATGAACTATGACAACAAACAAGTATACTCGTATGCATGAAACTTATTCATTTAATTATTGGTGCTCAAATTTGTCTTACCTTCTCTCAAAAAATTACTTTCAAATATCCTCAAAAATGTTAATGAAAAATTCCTGAACCCAATAGAAATTAGTGTACGACTTTGGAAACTAAAATAATATAATGAAGTAAATGCTCTTATTAACATATAGTGAACGCTCTTATAAACATATTCTTATTGAACATTAGTTCATTCGCCTTCTTAGAAGTGCGTGAGGTAATATTTTTTAAATTAATGTTCGAAATGGAAGTACCATAGTTACGGGATGAATTCAGCATGGGGAAGGTAAGGGCGCGGGTGGGCTGCAGGGAGGCACTGAAACAGGGAAGAGAGCAACCTCATTGATCGCACGCCGACACCGCGCTCCGCCGCCACCGCCGCATCCCCGCCGAGCCCGACACACAACCACTACAATCTGCAATCTTTTAGCGCTGTCACAAAAAATAATAACAAATTACATTATGTTTTTGGCAGATTGATTATCAGGGATGAATTTTATAAGTATGCAGATATGAAAGCCAAACTAGTAAATATAAAGAAAAGCTGAAAGCGAAAATTTCATTCAAAGAGATAGATAATTCCAACTCATATCGAATCGATTTTTTTGTAGAAATGAACATAATAATATACTACAGTACAATCAATGTCAATATATGTATGTGATTCTGGTTAAATCGCATTATAAATTGTCATTTTTGTTTCTAACGGTTTTGTTTTTAGTACCAATTCCTAATATTCACACACCATGTCGTAAACTTGTCACTACAGTAATATCGTGAGAGTCTTGTAAGTTCGTTTTCATAAGAGAGCCTAGTCCATATAAATACTTTACACAATAATAATTATGTAACAAATAGAGAAAGCTTGCTTCTACAGTTGTCAGATACCTATGTGTATAGGATACGTGGTGGAATAAAGTAATGGCGAATAGTACTATGTATGCATCAATGAGGGGCGTGAGACAACGGTGTGATGAGTTGTGTCAGGGCTCGGATCGAGGACCTCGTGCAGGCGAGCTGCGAAGGAGACAAGGTCGGCGAGAGCATCGCGCAGTGGCATGGCGCGGCGCTTGAATGGGAGCGGCGGGGACGGCGCGGCTGCGCGCCCTGCTCCCTCCGTCAGTCCGCACACCGGCGGCTCCGCTGCCCCACGGTCGGCCGCACTCCGCTGAAAAACAATGCTCAAAAACACGCCGTAACTTAAATAACACACCCTCGACGCGGACGGCAATGCTTAAGGATCGGACGGCACGCGTGGCCGTCGGCGAGCGGTCGTGAACATAGTTTGATTTACATATGAAAACCGTAAAAGGATTGAATTTTAAGCCGATCGTGTTCGATAAATCCCAATAGCGAAGCGGGAGTGCGGCGTCGGGCGGGAGGGGTCGGTGTCGCGGGGGTCGGGGCGGTGATGGCGCGGCACGGGGCGGCGGCGGCGGCGGCGGGGGCGCGTGGCGCGGCCTCGCGGCGCTGACATGGGCGGGCGGGCGCGCCGCTCGCTGTTGGCGGCGCCCGCGGGCCTGCTACTGCTGCTGTGCCTGCTCTGGCCGAGGGGTAAGCCCTAACATCCTCCAAACATTTAATGCCTATAAATATCGGTTTCCCGTAGATGTTACTTAGCTCAACCAAAACCACACAAAGGCAGTTCTTATAATACACACATTCACTTCGAAACATACATAATTATTAGCTAGTTAATTATTACTTAAACAAAGACACAAATTACGAATTGCATGAAAACACAACTTATAACTGTACTCGTAACTTTAAAAAAAAATGTAGTAAGTACATATTAAGACAATTATTATGCAAACAAAATTTATATAAAACATTAAGGACTCATAGATTTCAAAGAGCTCCCTAAATCAAAGTAAAAATTACTTGCTTTCAAGTAGCAATATGGTTCCAAAAAGGTTTTTAGAAAGGCAAAGATTTCATCGCCGTCACTCGAATAATCTCAAGTGTATCGAGAGAAAGATAAAACACTTTCTTTCACTACTTAATTTTGTAGCATATTCAGAGTAACGTTAATTACTGTTAGTTGAAAAAAATACAGTTTTTTTACTTTAATACTTATTTGCAGGTATCTTATTTTCTTAATACTTTTCTCCTTAAATTGCCAACTTTTCCTGCAAGACAATTAAATAAATATACATACTTATAATAAAATACAGGCAGTTATTTTCAAAATACATTTATTTTTTACGCATGCTTATTATAACTGTAACTTAGACGAGCTGTATAATCACCTTAAATTGATCTACGAGCATTCTGTATATTCGAGTTCAATTACCCGTACCATAAATCAATGTTAATTGCTGCAGTATCAAAATATCCAATTGCTTTTACAACAATAGTAAACATTATACTGTAAAAAATATTATCAAACCTCAAATTGGTAAAACCTGATCGACATAAGATCGTGATTCGATTATAGCACCCAAAACTGGACTGAATAAAAAACTCTTTTCTTGTATACAAAATTTAAACACATGAAGAGATAGCCTTTTTAAGCAAACCATGATTACGGACTAAGTAGAATATGCAAGTACCTGCTTGCTTCCATACCCATATTGTAAATGTAAAGGTGAGTGTTTTGTTGTTTTATTACGCTTTCACGTCAAACCACTAAACCCATTTTATAATTCTTTTACCAATGGAAAGCTACATAATCGGCAAGTAACATAGGCTACTTTTTACCGCGATAACTAACATAAGGTAGTAATATGTATATGTTGACCTGTCATAGTAGAAAAAGGTGCATTTAATGAGAATTTAAAGGAATGATAAAAAACATACGGTGTAAAGGTAATGAAGAAATGTCAAATTCAACAACCAGGCGATTTTTAGAATATAGTAAAAATCTTTTATTATGCCAGGAAATTACTAGACAGCACTTTATAGATACATACAAGAATATAGTAGTAGTGTTCGGAGAAACACTCAGACCCAATAATAAATAGATAGTGAAAAGTAAGTCTAAGAATAGCATAACACATTACTTTTTACTTTCAATATAAATAATATTTATAAATTTTGACAAAAATATAGGTGAGGTATTTCTATTAGATCTGACTGTGTCTAATGACTAATGTAATAGTCCTATGACTATGTCCACATTGTACATTATGTAGAAAATCGCGCTAAACAAACTCTACTAAATGATAAATTTACATTGAGGGAAATTGTATTAAGATTGGCTGCTTAGGTAGAAGTACTTTAATCAAGCGATCGTTACTGTCACAACAATTATACAAGTCGCTTTTATTCCTGAGTTGCTGACGCAAGGGCTTTTCTAAAGGATCAGCATGCACTTTCCACCTTGTGGTCGCCAATTGAAAACCTCTTTTCCCCAGTGTAACTCGCAACTCCGCATAAAAAGGCCATACATTTTTACATAGTCAAGTGGCCCATTAATCGACCCAAAATCTACCACCGTCTTTAAATAAAAACCGGCTAAGTGCGAGTTGAACTCGAGTGGAGAGGGTTCCTCCAAACGAGTACTTTTATTTGAGCCTTTTACACGGGATAATAGCTTTAAATTCTAATTAGAGTCAATAATGGATATTTAAATTTTATGTTTACAAATTTCACATTCGTAAATATTATTATTAGGGAACAGAAAAGTCCTAGAAACGGCATTTTGGCTACCTTTGACAATAGGTGATAAGAAAAGGTATATTGTAAAGAGGTTCATTTTGTTATTAGTAAATAAAATTCCTTTAAACATTTGCATTTATATAAAGGTACAGAAAACTGAGTTATATAGTGAAAACGGGAGGGTATTTTAGACTTGAAATTGCTTATTTTAAACTCGTATTTATTTGTCAGGGGCACGCGGCGGTTACCACGAGAAAAAGCTGCTGCACCACCTACTGGACCATTACAACGTGCTGGAGCGGCCCGTGGTCAACGAGAGCGACCCGCTGCAGCTCTCCTTCGGCCTCACGCTCATGCAGATCATTGACGTGGTGAACTAACAACTACTTATTGCTTATGTTTACTTCGAATATTTTTTATCAACAGCCTTTAAGAGTCTACTGCAGGACAAAGGACCCTTAGTAAGGCTCCTTAGTAAGGAGTTTTGGGCTATTATACTACTTTAACAGTCCATCGTTGGAGATAGCCCTCTCTTTAGTAAGAAGATTTTGGCCTATAATGTTACGGTGACCAGACGAGTTGGTATAGGGTTTGTTTCAAGTTTTCCTTCTCTTTACAGTGCTGTGGTTCTGCGTGATGTGGTCCCTTAATCGGCTCTTACGACATCCATACGATTAATAAGGGTGGTGACACTCTGTATTCCTAAGCTGTCACCACATGCGATCAGTTCATGCCTTACATAACCACCGGTGGGTGGTATCCGAGGGTATTGCCGCACAGACAAGAAAAATTAAAAGGGGAAGCATATCCCATACTACCCTCTTTATGACATGCCTTATACGCACGCATAGAACCGTGCGCTAAATTGTCGCCTCGTTGGATTTAAATCCCACTTGGGATATTCATTTATGTTGTCGTAAACAGTTGTCTTAGGCTGACTACACAGGATATTTTAGTAGCCTGTAAAACAGAAAAGCTCCGTTGGTAAAGAAGTTTAATTTATACATTTGCCTATAACTTTTTTTACCGTTTTTGCGTTCTCCGTGACTGTGCCTAACTATTTCCGATTTATACATTTTTCCTAAGCTATATACTCGTATACACATACACATTTATATACACATTTACTTATGTATAAGCAGAGAAAAATAACTTTATTTAATAAAGTTAAAATATAACCAATTACAAATAAAAGTTTAAATACGTATACAAAAAAGAATTTAAATACTAATATGGTAATTTTAAAAATTCAATAAACTTTTTTAAATTTGTACTTTCACATTAAAATCATGACAAGCAGTCACTGTCTATTGATAATTATTTGGTGATCCGTAAACTATAATTAGTCCACTTATCTATAGAATAGACTCGTAACATTATTATAACAGAACACCATTAATCGTTTTCTCGTCATTAAAATATACCGTTTAAATAACGTACTATGCTACCAGTCGCTTCAACTACGATTAAATAAACGGACTGACCAATCAAGTCTTTTAAATAAGTCCTCGCGTTTGTAAATTCACACGAACACGTACTAAAATTTAGCTATCCGCGGAGCATTTTAAAACTACAGATTTGTGTTATAATTATGGAATATAAATAGATAGATGCAGCATTCTTTGAGCCTTCACTTAACTTAAGTATATCAGTAGAACCTACAAAAAAAAATTATGCTAGTAAAACCCAAAGTCAAGTACAAACTAGTTACTTTTTAAAAGTCAAAACGTGATTTCGGTTGTCAATTAAGTAATCTACTTATGATTTTAAAGTATAATTGATTTAATTTCAAAAATATTTGCAAATGGGCATGGCATCATAAATCTACTTTGTACGATCTTTTTTCGATTTAATTCCATTTCGGGGGCTTTGAACTTAAATCCTTGTCCAAAATGTTTTTTCCCGTAGTTCCTAGTCTTGCATCTCGCTTCTCCCTCTCCTATTTATATTGTTTACTAGCTGGTACCCGCGACTTCGCGTGGATTTGAAGAGCGCTGCCTTAGTGGGTTCGATTCCCGGACCGGGCATCAACAGCCTTTAACAGTCCACTGCTAGACATAGGCCTCTCCTTAGAAAGGAGGTTTTGGCCTACTGTACCACGCTGGCCAGACGGGTTGGTATAGGGTTTGTGTCAAGTTTTCCTTCTCTTTACAGTTTTGTGGTCCTGCATAGTTTGCTCCCTTAGTCGGCTCTTAGGACACCCACGGGATGAATGGGGCTGGTGACAATCCGTATTCTTAATCCGTCACCACACGGCCCGGACCGGGCAAAACTTTAAAAAGCTTTTCTGAAAGGAAAAATAGCGTTAGTTACTCCTTATATAGACAGCTACCTGGTAGTGAAATATTATCAAAATCGGTAAAACCGTTTAGAAGATTACCCAGTACCCGAACAATACCCAGAACAAACAGACAGACACACGGCCAAAAAAAACTGGTTTTTAGGCATAGGTGTCGTGCAAATAACCGTGTGAGCATGAAAAAAAACATATTATTTTGACATTACAAACAGACACTTCAATTTTTTTATTTGTATCGATAAAAGATAAGTAATTTTTTAGCAATAAGTACTGCGATATTATTTACTCGATACAGAAATAACTGTTTGCCTTTTTTTAATAAATATGTTCTGTTTTATGTGTACTTTATTTGTTGACTGTACATTGTTCTCAGCCATTACTGATAGTGTTTTTGCCTAAAACAGTATCCAGAAACCTGTTACAGTGTGTGTTTTCTGTAATCCCTATTGACCAACCTACTCGGAACCTGAATTTACTTCAATAAGACTTCTATAAGTGTCGCACATTATAAATATACATATATTAATTTTCCCAGGACGAGAAGAACCAGCTATTAATAACAAACATCTGGCTTAAACTAGTAAGTACAAGCGAAAACAATAAGTTTTTCTATACCATGTAATTTCACTATCTCATTTGTTCACTTCTCATTATTACATTGTTTTGTAATACCGCTATCTGCGGACGTGGTGATGGGTTCTGCTTTATTCCTGTTATAGAAAATTACAGTTAACAGATTTAGAATGTATTTCCATTAAAACAGGAAACAAGAACTTTTCATTCACCACAATCGTTGGTGGCCGGGCCGACAATAGCGCTGTTTTAGTCAAACACCTTTAAAATAGTTATAAGGGAAATCATGACAAAGAAATAATCAATCGAACTGAATGGGAAATATCAAGACTTGAAATGCAGTTCTTCACTAATCTAAGTTCTTCCTTCAAGGAGTTGTTGTAACTCGTATAGTAAATGTGTAAATTCAATGGAGATGGCAGAACCAGGCAGGTTTTGTGGCAGATGCCCGAAATATTTATTATGATTACTGGTATTATTGCATCTGCATTGAAATGAATGAGAATAATAAAGAGTAAATCTGTGATTGGCAACAGGAATAACACAATGCAAGCGTGTTTGTCTATTCAACTAGAGCACCTTCTATTATGTAGATCGTAGTTTGCAACCCATCCACATAATGCACCGAGTAGTCTATTCGACGACAACTTCAAAGCATTCTCTAGTAATTTCATAGTAATTATTTAAATTATTATTGTACACCAAAACTCCAATTGATTTTATTATAACTTATTTCAGAAAATTTCTTCGTACTGTTACACGTGCCGACCGAATATAGTTAAAAAAAAGAAAGATTTGAGATGACCTTTAATAAATTAATAAAAATAAATTGAAAATAGTACACTGATTTAGTATGAAAATTGAGTCGGAACCGAGCAGCAAGTAGGTCTGAGGAGAACTGAGGTGCTGGTGTGGCTGAAGTTATGTGTAGCTTTTTATATGCTGACTGGGATGAATGAAAGAGCTAGGTAAGCAAGTGTCCTAGGGTTGTCCGGCGTAGGACCATTGGGCATTCTTGCACTGAGCATATTACTGATAAATAATTTGGATAAGACCTACTCATGTTAGAGTAGCACGACACTGTTAAGTACATAAGACATTGTGTTCCTGACTCTTTACCTATAAGCTCTCCTGTATTTGTCTTTAAAAAGGTTATATTATTCCCTGTACTTGTTCAGGAGTGGAATGACATGAACTTAAGATGGAACACATCGGACTTCGGCGGGGTTAAAGATTTAAGAGTACCGCCCCATAGGTTATGGAAACCAGACGTCCTTATGTACAACAGGTACGTATTCGAACTAAAAATTTGATTTAATTGATTTAGTTATTTTATAATATTTGGCTTATTTGTAAGCTAGTATCCTAGGTACGTCTAATAATAACATAATATTAATGTGTAAAATCGAACTTACAATCATTTTGGATTAAATAGCCTATTCTTGAAAATTCTTATAAGCTTTTTTCAATAATTTGATTGAAGAGATAGTAGCAATTTTACTTGTTGGTATATAAAATGACCTTATATTGTTCTACTAGTCAATAATTGATTAAGTTTAATTTAAGGTTAAATTGTATTTAAAATTAAAAAGTATCAATACTAAAATGCTAATCCACTATATTACAGTTTGTGTCTTGATTAAAAAAAGTGTTTTTCTTTTTTGTTTGTTTTAAACTCAAAAACTCATTCACATCAAAATATGATTCGTCCTAAATAATCGAAAATGGAAAGTATGGACTACACTTAATTTACTTTTTATCGTTTTTGTAAATCAATCAATCAATCTCTAAAATATTTTTTTAATATTTGGAAGCTGCAATCAAATAACAGTTTTTTTATAATTTGTGAAATTGGAGATATTTTAACTTTTAACTCATGCAAAATAAAATGTTCTAAAAACTATTAATAGGTATTAAAAATGATAAAGCAATAAATTTGCAACTCTGTCAATCAGTTTGAAATAAAACGAGAAACGAATTACAATGAAATAAAATTAAATCTCTTGACACACTTATATTTATCATGAGATGAAACCGTTTTTAAATTGGTCTACATTTCATTCTCAATTAAGCAGTTTTAAATTATTTCTTAATAGTAACTTTGTACTGAATCGACATCGAAACTTAAAGTTGTCGAAGTGTAAACGTCTTGTATTTTAATTTAATTAAATAATTCTTAAATTGAACACTAACTATAAACAATCGTACATCATAACAAGAAGTGTTAAAAATAAAAATAAGTTATCTCTTTACTGCGCAAGATAACATTGATGAAAGTATAGCAATAAAATGAAAAAGTAGTATGTTTTAGAAATCGAATAAGAACAGATAGACTGAAAATCAAGAGTACACCAGTCTATCTGTTGTTATTGACCGCAGTTTGGAAATGCGCTACGAAATTGCATAACTACACCCCCGTTTCAACAAGGGATCCAAGCTACGGCATTGAGCCGTTGAGCGGGATACTGAACCACGCACTCAGAAATTGTAATAAGTAATCTCATATCCGTTCGGATAATTACTCATTTGTCCTCCACAAATAATATTTTTTATTAAATTATAAAATTGAAAATAAATTGTTGTAATAAAAACATCCTGTAATTTAATTATAAACAATATTATTATTTAAGTACCTATAATTTTTTTTTTCTTTGACGTTTAAGGTAGAATGTTATTATTTTAGTAAAATAAACAAATTATAAAACACTGCACATAAAGTGTTCCAACAAAAATTTCTTTCTATAACTTATTTATTTTTTCAAATTAGTATATTTAACCTTTACGGTACGATATAGAATGGTAGAGTATAACAGGCGTAATTTGTTTGTGAAGTGCGGACGAAGGGTTCGACAGCACATACCCGACGAACGTGGTGGTGCGGAACAACGGTTCGTGCCTATACGTGCCACCTGGCATTTTCAAAAGCACCTGCAAAATAGACATCACCTGGTTTCCCTTCGATGACCAACGCTGCGAGATGAAGTTTGGCAGCTGGACTTATGATGGACATCAGGTTCGATTAGAGAATGTTTATTTTCGATTTTGTAGGTTTCAAGATTAGCCATCGAATATTAAGGAATGTAAAATGAGTGACATTTAAAATTATCTAAAACCTTATGTTTGATATACTCGTACTACACACTATAATATTTCCAGTCCACATACTTTAATATTTTAACCTATCTTAAACGTCCTTCCTATTTCATTACGGAGAATCCGTCATAAGTTAATAAAAGTCTTTCCTACATGAGATTACCGTCTTCATGATTCTGGGATAAATGACACCGTACATGACCTTGGGATAGAATTAGACTTTCAATAAGCTTATCCTTATAAGATATATTCAAAAGAAGGTTGTAATAAATCATGAAAGATAAAAAAAAACTAACTAAACCAAATGCATAAAATAAATAAATACTAGACTTGCAACGAATATTCGGTAACTATTCGGTATTCGGCCTATTCGGCTGCTTTTATTATATTCGGCCGAATACCGAATATCTACATATTATTCGGCCGAATACCGAATACTTAAATAATATATTTTGTCATTGAGAAATAATTGGTAAAATGAAAAATTAAAATCGATTGATTACGTATATATTCATATTTTCATTTCTGTGATAATCATTTAAGTAGTCATTGGTGCATAACACAGGTACATAATCATCTTCTGAATTGGAAAAATGGAGGATTTTATGTATTTGAATTATTGTGGTAATCAAAATTTAGAAGGGTAAGGTTCTTATTTCTTTTATAATCATTTATTAATTAGTCATTGGTACATAAAACAGGTACATAATTTAATTCACGTCTGTACAAGTTTTTGGCGCTAAAATCCAGCCGAATACTTTTGCCTAATATTCGGCTATTCGGTCAGGGGCCTCGCCGAATATTCGGTATTCGGTATACTGCCGAATATACTATTCGTTGCAAGTCTAATAAATACCAATTACTATACGCTATATATTTTTCGAGCATGTACATTTTATTGCAGTTGGATCTACAATTACAAGACGAAGGGGGTGGAGATATTAGCAGTTTTGTCACTAATGGCGAATGGGAACTAATAGGTAAGTTAGATAAAACAATTCTAATAGTTTAGATTAACTGTTTTGAAACTATATTATACACTGTATTAAACTAGTTTTCTATTTTACAAAACGATAATTTAAAAAAAACATCAATATATTTTAAATATCTTCCATTCTTATTACCCTGCGACATAAGGAAGTTATATCATGGATGATTGACTTAAATCAAATCAAATCAAATAATTTATTTTGCGAACATGGCTCCTTACTTAGCTCTTCTTATATTTATATGATAAGTTATGTGATCCATTTTGATAGGGAAAATAATTCATCACCATACTTCCTGACTATACAAATCGAACATATTTTTTCGATCATTCTGCTACCGTTTCTACATACCTTTAACAGTACGCGTAAAACGATGTGATGTGTATAACCATCATCACAAATTGTAGGACTGTTAAAATTCTGTTAGTTTAAACTGAGTCAAGTCTTGTTATTGTATATTATGTTGATGTGAAAGTGCGAAACATTTTAACCACTAATCGTTATTTCGTATGCGTATACCAATTGGCTGATATATTTGTAACTATAAATATGCATACCTTTAATGGAAAGTAGTGAACGAATATTTGTGTTCCTAGTTTAACATAGTTCGAAATTTGTATTGCAATGTATGATATAATAATTTATTGCAGGGGTCCCTGGCAAGCGCAACGAGATCTACTACAACTGCTGTCCGGAGCCGTACATCGATATCACGTTTGCGGTAGTGATTCGTCGGAAAACTCTTTACTACTTCTTCAACCTGATCGTGCCCTGCGTGCTCATCGCCTCAATGGCTTTACTTGGGTTTACGCTACCACCAGATTCAGGCGAAAAGTTGTCTTTAGGTAACACGTTACATATTAAGATGATTGTGATAAATTTTATTATGATGTGACACAAAATCTATACAAGATAAATACGCGACTGTTTTTCTTCAAAGAGTGGGTGTCTCCAATAAATTAAACAAAAGTATATATCATAGCATACCAGTATTGTATTTGTATTCGATTTAGATCAATCTATATTAATATTATAAAGCTGAAGAGTTTGTTTGTTTGTTTGTTTGAACGCGCTAATCTCAGGAACTACTGGTCCGATTTGAAAAATTCTTTAAATATATCATCACGCTAAGACCAATAGGAGCGGAGCACCAATAAAGACTGTTTCAAAAACGGAGAAAATTTATTACTATTGAGAGACGCAGACGAAGCTAGTTTAATAATATAGTGCAATGCACGAATGACACCAGTGGTTTTGCCAACCTCCGTAAGCTACGATAACTGCTTGTTCGTTTTTAATATAATGTCTAATAAAATTTTGAATTTCGATATCGATAGTCTCAAAGCGAAATCGCAAGTATTAGACATATACAGATATATAGTGTAGGCACACATACAAATCACGACATCCATAATATGTACGTTTGTATAATTTGACACAGGTGTGACAATTCTACTATCGCTGACGGTGTTCCTAAACATGGTAGCAGAGACGATGCCGGCGACTTCAGACGCAGTCCCACTGTTGGGCACGTACTTCAACTGCATCATGTTCATGGTGGCTTCCTCCGTCGTGTCCACTATACTCATCCTAAATTATCATCACAGACACTCCGATACTCACGAAATGAGTGAATGGGTTTGTGTTTCTTTAAAATAATAATAGGATTATGTTGTACCGATTGGTCATAATTTTTTATGATGACTACGTGTACGTGTCTTCTTAACATCAGACGAAATTTATATATTTTTTATCTTACGGGATACGCTTTGTAAGCAAAAACATTACCAAATTCCTTCGTATGAAAATGATCAAGCATATTAGTAAAGTATAAACAATAACTATAAAAGTGAACGAGTTAAATGTTATTCGACATATTGTAAATATTCGACAATTAAATTAAATAACATTTTCTTAACATAAACGACCCACTATTTGACTAATAAGTTCCTTGGGTAACAGATACGATGTGTGTTCCTGTACTGGTTGCCCTGGATCCTGCGCATGTCCCGACCAGGCTCGGCGACGACGCCACCGCCAGCACGAGCGCCGCCGCCGCCAGACCTGGAGCTGCGCGAGCGTTCTTCCAAGTCGCTTCTAGCAAATGTGCTCGACATCGACGACGACTTCCGCCATGCGCAATCGCAGCAGCCGCCCTGCTGCCGATACTACAGGTCCCTCGACGATCTACACGAACACTACTCGCCGTAAATAGCACGGTTACGATAATTCACCCCAGCCTATAACGTTCCGCAGTGTACCCGACCCTAACAGCTTTCTCGAATGAACATTGACATTATTCAATACACTGTTTCACTGGCCATCACATAAATTTCACCTCGACTTCAGTATTTCTGCTCTTGGGTCTTGGGTCTTGAACATACAATCGGCATAACTCCCGTAGTGCCCCTCGTTCCTCGGCTCCACCTCGTTTAGTGTAGAACTTATACGTAACGGGTAATTACAGTCACTTACTTCTTGCAGAGGGGGTGAGGAGAGTGGAGCGGGGCTGGCTGCTCACAGTTGTTTCGGCGTCGACTACGAGCTCTCGCTTATACTCAAAGAGCTTCGAGTCATCACAGATCAGGTAAAAATTAAACAATTTCATTTTTTTAAAACATAAGACACATTCCACATTATGCACACGTTTGAACAAATTCCAGATGCGCAAGGACGACGAAGATGCGGACATTTCGCGCGACTGGAAGTTCGCCGCCATGGTCGTGGACAGACTGTGCCTTATTATCTTTACCCTGTTCACAATCATTGCCACCCTAGCCGTGCTGCTTTCGGCGCCACACATCATGGTGTCGTAGCGGCCCGCCCGCTTGCGTCTACGCATGCGAAACGTTCTGTGATACCGCGAATACTTGTTAAGTTGTGATGTGCAAAGCGGCGCGGACGCTGACGCCGCGGTGACGAAGTTGCTTGCCGCCGCCTGCCTCGTCGCCCGCGCCCCCCTATAGATATAAGTTACGGCTGACTGCCATTCCTGTACGCTCAATAATAACTGCCTATCCGACTGACGTCTTCTAATCCTCTAAGATCTTCAGCGATTGTGTATCTTTTCTTCCAATGACATTCCAATGGTCGTCACGCTCACTGGAATCGCTTGCTCAACGAGCGATCGTTGGGTTCGTCAGGAGGTGTATTCTCTTAAGGACGATGAGCGTTTCCTTGACACAGACGATCCGTCCGTGGAGAAGTCGCCCGAAGCGATATTGTGGCAGTACGTGCTATGCACCTTGCAAGCGTTGTCGGACCGGTGAGGTCTGCGCTAGAGTAGTCAACATCACAAAAGGCCACCGACTACACAAAATTGTGGCAAAACAAAATTTAGCACAAAAACGTCTTCCTTCATACCGTTGAATGACCTGATTCGCATTTAAAATTTAAACTTTGTTAGAACTTCTTCAATTCTTGAAATCTATTGTACAATTTTAGAGTTTGGGCGATGAAACAAGGGCCCTTTGTTTCCTTCTTATTCGATTCCATGAATCGTGGTTATAATCCCTAGTTTTATTTTCGGATATATTTGTGTCAGTAGCTAGTATAGAACTTTACAAACAATGTTGATTCAATTTGTACAGGTTGTGATATGCCTCGTTGTGAACGGGTCGATATTGTTATAAATGGTGAATATCCATGGGCTATAGCTTAATAAAACGTTCGTTAAAAGTTGTGGTTAAACAAAAATTATTTTAGTAAAGTCATAACTGGATCTTTCGGAACGACTTATACAAATAATAAAAATACATACATATTAATATCACATTTGTACTTCTTTCTATACAGTTACAGTAATTCATAGTATTATGCTGAAAGTAATATTAGCTTGTAAAATTTTTCTTCTTGGGCAATAATTACAAAAACGACCATCGTTGCAAACACCTGTATATATAACTCATTTTATATCGTGTACAACATTTTTATGTATACATAATAAAAAAATGAATCGTATGTATTGACAGAACTCAACTGGAATAGTTTTTGAGACTACTTCTACAAGTATGTCCTAAGCACCCCGACCAACCCTATCGCTCGTCTGCCACATTACAATTAACCAAAATAAATTTGATTTAACGCTCCATCGAAACCAAATTATTTCGTTACGTCATTGTTGATTTATGTTTTATGACGAAGCATTGTGAACCCCTTAAAAGGAAAACGTGATATAAGCGGAGAGAATGTGCGGGTACACTCGACAGTAAGAATGTACCCTCACAAAGCTCCTGTAATGTTTTCCTTCTCCGGGATTATGTTGTAAGTAATCTTAGACGGCCCTTTGGAAGTTGCTGGCCGAATTTGATTACGGGTTAATGTTTCCGATCATGCCTTTATTTACTGTTATATAATCTTCATACCATTCGCTAGAGGTTGTGTGACGACCCGGACGACAGAAGTCGCACATGAACCCGCCATTGCGGTCTCTATCTCCTTATTTGATAGGACGATGTGCGGCATCTTTCCGTCGGTAATGGGACAACCAATGTCCCCAAAATTTGTTCAATTGTTAGGGTTAAAACTCTGAATTGCACTTTGTTTATTAAATATAAACGAATGAAACAAACCATTTTTTATTTAAAACTGCAAGTTACCCTTATAAAACTAGTCACAGTAAGTAGTTATATTCGTAACTATTCAATAACATTCGATTATTCGTAACGGGTCATAAAGCCCTCATTAAATTAAGTTGCTAGAGTTATAAAACTATACCACGATCTCCAACGAATACGTATACGAAATTTAATTTCTCCGTTTTCTATCTAATCATATATAAATAATTGGACCAAGTATAAGTGAGTATTCAAACAACATATAGGAAGTAATTTATCTATAATCCCTGCGAGCAGATACTTGAAAGTATTGTATAAGCCATCCCCGACCTACATAATATTACCGGTGAGGTGCCACTGGAGCTGAGAGGGCAGAAATCGATTCTATCCCATGGGATGACAGCACATGCGCATAACACGTGCTTACATAGTGGGAATTAACGTAAGTATATCCCGAAAATAAGACCCGGAACCTACACATTTTGGTAAACTACCAATTTATTGAATGCATATGTAAAATAGAAGTAACCAACAAATAAAAACAAACAATCATGAAAAATATTATAAAACAGAATTAAGTTAAAGTTGGAAAACTCAAATACAGACGAAGTCAAGGTCTAAATTGATATTTAAAACCGCGTGTTCGAGCTATTAAATTCATATAATCTAGTATTAATAGTATGACTGTATATTTTGTACCAGTGTGCAATAAGTTGTTAGTGTGGTAGGCGGGTTAGGTGCATAGGGCGGGAAGTGCGCAGAGCGGAGGTGCAAGGGCGGGCGGCAGCGTCGCTGCGTGCGGCAGTGAGCGCCGCCATGTCGGGCGGGACGCGCGCCTTCCTGCTCGCAGCCGCGCTGCTCACACTACTCTACTCAGGTACTCTAATCTCAGCTCGTTATAAAACCACATTAATGAATTACAAGTTACTTAAAAAATACTACATCACAATTATTGCAAACGAATCTCAAATGTTTTAGTATTTGAGGGCGGTTTCCAATGTAAATAAGTGTTTTAATTGCCTAAAAACAAAATATTAGCAGAATATAGTTATTTTCTTTTATTAAAAGCCTAGAAAATGATTATCAGTGTAAGTTTTAATTTTAAAAGTAATTAATTTTTGAAATAGCTATAATTTTACATCGCAACTGTTAAAAGAAAAATAATTTCTGGTCACATTGTGTTTATCTTTCTGCAATCTTGCAATCTTGTGATATTGCAATCGCCGTAATTATAAATATTAATGTGAAAAATCTTTAACATTGGAAAATGTGATGTCTGAAATAACATTATCTCACGGTTCGCTCTTTATTGATCTATCGTCGCTACAGCATCTCAACGAGAGCTACATATTTCTCTCAGAGCAGTCTGCCACGTAATATCCTTAAAGAAAAAATGTTAATTATTACATTAAATTTTTTATGGAAGTAAATACCAATAAAACAGAAAGTAAATGGATGTAATTTATAAAACGTAGGTCCTAGAGTAACTAGTTTAAATGTCATCTTAACTTCGCATTTGTAATCAAATAACAAGTTTATGTCTACGCCCAATAGGAGTATTTTGTATTACGAATCAATAGCGCCTCGTCTATGGAAATCATTCCAAACGATCATTGCTTTGCCATTTATTGTTAATACTATAATATGTGATATTCTTACAGTTCTCTTTGTATCTATAACTAAACCTTTCCAAATACCTACTAATATTCATTTATGAGAAATTATTCACGTATTGGTATATTTTCATTATTGCAACGGAAATAATCTTAAAGACATATCGCACCCATTCTTACTTAATGAAAGTGTTCCTTCTGATTTGGCTTAACATACTTCAAAAAACGTTTAAAAAAATAATCGAAATTGTTAGTTAGAAAGATACATGCATCTGTCACTGTTGTCGATCACGCTTCTTCACGCTCTCCCCACTCTCAATCATATTTTAAAAGATTTTTTTGGGAATTTACCACAAATATTTTTGCTAATTTTTTGACTTAGATAACTATTACATACCTACTATTTTTCAAAAATATATTTATTATTTTAGGATGGTGTTCAGAAGACGAGGAGCGGCTGGTCCGCGACTTATTTCGTGGTTACAACAAACTTATCCGCCCAGTACAAAACATGACACAGAAAGTCGACGTACGCTTCGGTTTGGCCTTTGTACAGCTCATCAATGTTGTATGTAACTCTTATAAATTATATTTATTAGTCTGAGTTAGTTTAAAGAATGTTTATTATCATCACTACAATTAGAAAATATTATAAGTAGTAGTAGTGGCTCGTCGACAGGATGACATCGGAAATAGCTTCAAGGACTTGTTTGTTATGCGTGGTGTATTGTGTAGGCGAGAAGCAGACCCGAGTGCAGCCTCTCAGATTTAGACGGGGGTTAGTCTCCCCGTACTCCACCACCGTACACCACTTCGCCCTCGACTCATCAGAGTCGAGGGCGAAGTGGTGTCACAAGGTCACGGATCATGAGGTGAGGACCCGTGGAAAGTCACACAAAAAAATTGTAGGCAGAAAATAACTTACTAACTGCTTGATGTTCATAACATTGTGACTTTAAGAAACGGTTAAACTACCTAACAAACGCAAATAGTCTTAACATTTTGGACGTTTCTTATTTTCAGATTCTTTGTATTCCTGGAAATTAGAAACATCATCATCATATCAATCTGGATTGAGCAAATGATTATAAGTTTATAATATAACGTACTAAGGCTCTCTCCCTGAATGATCTTGTAGGTAGCGATCCAGAGGTCATGGGTTCGATTCCCACCCCAGGACAAATAACTGTGTGATGTAACATAATGACAGTGGCATGTCAATATGATGATGTAATATATGTTTATAAAAACAAAGATAGCTTTTCGAAAAGAAGTTATGTACATTCTATAAATACCAAAAATAGAAATAAACTAAAGGTACCTACTTACCTCTAGACTCTAAAAGATAAACAAGTCATTTCAAAGTCAATGTGTCCGATTTTAAGTATTTAGATTTTAAGTATAAACAAATATAAATCCACAATAAAACGTAACTCAATTGTGGATTACATAGAAGACAAGAATGCTTAGGATTAATTTCGCACAGGCTATTTCTTAAGTGAAATAGTGGTGTGAGGTAGTGTGTTTTTTATTCATTATTTCAATTTTTTTCATAATAATAATAATATTCATTTATTTCAGATGGTCATTCAAATCTTGTTAGAATTAATTATTTACGTTACGTTAATAGATGTATTGATATGACTTTAAAAGACCAACAGCTCAATCTTTTTGTCGTTATATAAGAGTCCATGTTCTCTAGCATATTCCTCACATGTCTGTGACAGTCTTCTCATGCCTTTGATTATTGGACACATGTTTATGTTTTACTTCACTTTCATTTCTATTCCAACTTTTCTCTTTATATTGTTTTCTCTTCATTGTCTTTTCATCTTTTAGTTCTTAATAAAGAAAATACTGGCACACATCAAAACAATGTTGTGGTATATTTAGTGATGCCATTGTATCTACCTGTTGATTAAAAAAAAGTGGCCGTGAGTTTGTTTGCCCTTTCTTCTCATAGGCTCAACCCCTTGGAAACAGGCGGTTGTAGATCGTCACAGGCGTATTACAGATTTGCGAAATTATATTATATTATAATTATTTTGCTAAATATTTGACAAAGCATAGATTGTTTAGTTAGTGTGTGTGTTAGTCTATGACTTTAGAGTTTACATAAAAGACGATTTCAAACAATTTATGAAATAAAGATACTTTGAGTTTTGAGTTTTTGATGTGTTTAGAGATTTAAGTATTTATATTGCTTTTACACCAAGTTGATTTAACGATTAAAATGTTTGCAGAACGAAAAGAACCAAATTATGAAATCAAATGTTTGGCTCCGTTTAGTATGGATGGACTATCAGCTGATGTGGGATGAGGCGGATTACGGCGGCATAGGTGTGTTGCGCCTGCCACCCGACAAGGTTTGGAAGCCCGACATTGTACTTTTTAACAAGTTAGTAACTCTACTACATTTTTGATACCTTGATGTTCGTTCATTATCTATATTTTATATTTATGTGTATGTTACAGCGCTGACGGAAATTACGAAGTGCGATACAAATCTAACGTACTGATTTACCCGAATGGCGAAGTGCTTTGGGTACCACCAGCTATTTATCAGGTACATGAAAGTGTCACATAACCTCTCACTGTACTTTATTACAGTATGTGGTCGAATAGCCTCACTGCCCGACAAATAATTAGATACCAAAATTGTTTCTAGCCAATTGCCAATTTTTTTATAGAATCCTGGTAGAAGACAAATACGCAAGTAGTATATTTTAAACCCAGCTCTGACCTTAATACTTCGGATTTGATGTCGGTTGGGTCGATTTTGTACTGTTACTTACTTCTTAGAACTTAGGTACTTTTCTTTGTATTGATGTGGTTAATTAAAGGTTACAAACTTGTTAGTAAAACAAGTAATATACGTACTTATGTTACTTGAGGTTTTTTTTTATCGCAAGCAAGATAAGGTGCGGCTATTTCTCTGCAAGAGATTTTATCATTTATGTACAGTATATATTATTTGATTTTAGAGTTCCTGCACAATCGATGTGACATATTTCCCCTTCGATCAACAAACTTGTATTATGAAATTTGGATCATGGACTTTCAACGGAGACCAAGTGTCCCTTGCACTATACAACAACAAAAACTTTGTTGATCTATCTGACTACTGGAAATCAGGAACTTGGGACATAATTGAAGTACCGGCCTACTTAAACATTTACGAAGGAAATCATCCAACGGAAACGGATATCACATTCTACATAATAATTAGGAGGAAAACTTTGTTCTATACGGTCAATTTAATCCTGCCTACAGTTCTGATTTCATTTCTTTGCGTTTTAGTCTTCTATTTACCTGCTGAAGCTGGTGAAAAGGTAAACATATAAACTATTTTTGCACTACTGCACACGTGATTAATCTTACCGAGTGACCAAATGGATTGTCTTATAATACATTTAATTTCATAAGTAGGTGTCCTATGTTTGAGTTTGGGATCGGTGGAATGACCTTTAAAAGTTTAAAAAATCGCTCGTGAATGTAAAGTTTACGTTGAAAGTTGAGGAAGGCCTATGTATAGGACTGGACTTAGAGACTTGGAATATGATGAATGTATGAATTTGAGGACATAAATAAATATTTGAGGTTCAAATAATGTATTGAAATAATTGCGGTGTAATTTCATATTTGTAGATGTTGGTGGTGCTTTTTATTACAATACAATAGGAATAATATTTTGTGTACACACATTTATATGCTTTTGAAATTTTCAGGTGACATTGGGTATTAGTATTTTGCTGTCACTGGTTGTGTTCTTATTGCTAGTATCAAAAATTCTTCCGCCGACATCTCTCGTGCTTCCTCTTATCGCCAAATACTTGCTTTTTACATTTATTATGAACACTGTCAGTATCCTCGTCACGGTCATTATCATCAACTGGAACTTCAGAGGGCCCAGAACGCACAGGTAAAATACTCATATATTTAAGTAATATCTATTTTATTATAATAAATTACATTCAAGATACTTAACTAGATGGTTATCGATATTGATAGATACCACATAGGAAATGAGTATAAATAATACAACATCGCAAAAAAAAATTTACAAAGTACAATTGTAGGTATATATTTTTTACGCAGATAGAAGTAACTAACATCTTTATAAGAAAATACTTACTGGAAGCTTTAACTAAATATTATACTTAGTAAGATTACGGGGAATTTACTATTACTCGTATTACTTGTTCTGTATTGAGGCTACAAATAACCATACCCACACACAAGCTAATACTTAATACTAAGTATTCTTATCTTCGTACTTTTCACAAGGTACAACTAAACTAAGACTTGGTCATCATTCTGCGTCGAAGGCGCTTACAATGGGATGTCCTCAGAGATCAGTGCTAGCTCCATACTTGTGGAATAGACGATTTTCTTGCGATACCAATCCCTTCCGGATGTACTCTGAATGTGTATGCTGATGACGGTCTATTATTGGTGGAATCTGATATTAGGTCGGGGCTTGAGAAATTAATCAATAGATGTTTGAACTTAATATCTCATTGGGGTGAACGTAATCGCTTAACTTTTGCACCCAACAAAACCTCGCTACTTTTGAAATGTAACCTCAAATCACCGACTAGCATTAAATTTGACAAGGTTACTGTAAAAAATAAAACCTCAGTGTGTTATTTAGGATGAGTTTTAGAAAGAAACTTTTTATTTATCGAACATATTAAAATAGTTAATGAAAAGTCTAAAAAGAGTTTCTGTGCATTGACAAAGATTTCAACTGCGACATGGGGTCATTCATTCATTCAATACACTAAAGATCATATACGGAGCAACTTATTTAAGTTTTATGTGCTATGGTGCCGTACCTGTATGGGCCGATAGGGCGACCGTAGGCGCTGTTCGTCGCAAAATATTATTTATAAGGCCGACTTACACTGATATTCTTGTGCAAGTCATATAGGACGGTTAGCACTGAGGCTTTGCCGGGGTTAGCGGGTGTGCTTCCGTTTGATCTCGAGGTGCAAAGACGTGCAGCCATATACTATTCAACACTAGAAAACATGGAATGCATTTTTTTAGGATCGCGATAAAATGTTTCCATCTATTCGCGAATGGTTGTCGAGGACATGGTTTGAGATGGATCACCGTGTCGCCCAATTTCTTACAGGTCATGGTAACTTTAAGAGCCCGTCCCGAGAATGGGCGTCCCGAGAGTCATAACTCGGTGTGTTCGTGGGTCACTGCTGTTGACCTGGTGTAGTTACAGTGGTAGGCGTGTGGGAGAGATTAGTCCCAGTATGAGTTTCAGACCTTAAAACTATTTTCCTAATTATTTTTGTATTTCTATAGGTAATTTATTTTGTATACTAAAATTATTTATACAATATTTTCTTTCAGGATGCCGCTGTGGATCAGAAGTGTTTTCCTACATTATCTTCCGGCAGCACTGCTCATGCGTCGTCCACGTAAAACTAGACTGCGGTGGATGATGGAAATGCCCGGAATGGGCGCTCCACCGCACGCAGCCACCACACATGATCTTCCAAAGCACATTAGGTATGTACGATTAATAAATAGTGTATAGTTGATGTTAGTCAGTCTTTGTCTAACATGAGAAACTTGTCAATATACTAACTTCTTAGTGCGATTGGTGTAAAACAAAGCAAAATGGAGGCGATGGAGATGTCGGACCTGCACCATCCGAATTGCAAGATAAATCGTGCTGCCGGCGGCGGTGAGGTCGGCGCCCTTGGAGGTCTCGGTGCTCTCGGGGGCTTAGGACTCGGAGGAGAGAGGAGAGAATCAGAGAGCTCAGATTCCCTCCTCTTGTCACCAGAAGCAGCAAAAGCGACTGAAGCGGTAGAATTCATTGCTGAACATCTACGTAACGAAGATCTTTATATTCAGGTCAGTATTGATATGATTATAATCCGCATGTTGTGTAAGTATAAGTAGTTTTAAAGTAGCTAAATACCTTTTTATTCGGCAACGATGTAAGTCACGATCACATACATTGAGTAAGTAGGCCACCTTGAACAGAACGCTTTATGTCTCGTCTTCGATTCCCGCTCGAAACAAATATTTGTATGACCTACCGAGAAGTACGGTACATACTTAGTATCAAGGCTGTGTAAGTGTAAAGTGAATTCGTAATGAAGACTGTCGATAACTGCATCCTCGAAAGAGACAAAGAAAGTGTAAAGAGATGAAATTGAACAAAAATAACTTTAATCCTTGTGATCATTACATGTCCGTTCATTACAAATTATTCAGAATTTGTGTTTAAAACTGTGCTCAAATCTAAATCTTTATACATATAAATACCTACCTGGGGAGTTACTCCCTGTTACCTTTATTGAAGTAGGTAGGAATTTAAATTTTGTTGATTCAAACCTAAAGGAATAAAACTCACCCACCCAATAAGTAACCACAAGTGCCACTTACAGATAGTGTATTAAAAATTTCACACAAATAATGTTTAACGTAATCATATGTTAAAATGGGGCACACCCAAGTACTCCGAAATATTTTATTCCGAATTTCGATGTTCCGATTTTCTAAAGTCCGAATTTCATAATACCTGAGAATTATAAAGTCTATTATTAAAATTCACGAATGTTATTTTACCGACAGCCTTTGATGCGATTTGTTTGTTTCCGATTTTTATACGTTCGAAGAATGAAATGCTTGATGGGTTCTCAGTCCGAAAAACGACATTCTGATTATCAATACTTCAAATAAACAGCTAAAATTAGAATTCTGATTCAGTTGGTATAATATTCAGTTACGCATATATATTTAAAATCTATAAGTAGCATTGTCGCCATCATCATCAACCTATCGCAGTCCACTGCTGGAGGCGAGAAGCCGAAAATCGATCTAAGTGGCGTGCAATGGGAGAGGTCTATAAGTAACGTTTAATGTAATTTAAAAACGACTACTTTGTTATTAAATTGTTTTGTGTTTTCTTCTTCTTATATATCTATACCTGCGTCGGGTACCATCAACTGACATTGAATTCTTTGGTTAGAACCGTGACCATCCAAAGAGCCAAAAGAAATTCGAATTTTTGATGTTTCGAATTATCATTAAGTCGGTCTTTTCACCTTCCACCTTATTTCACGTAATACGTTTCTAATGGACTTGAAAACATTACATCTTGTTAGTGTGCTGTTTCTTAGATAAAGTTAGCCAGTGATTGTGCAAGTGATCCTAGACTTTTTGTAGACCGAAATTGAATTGAAAATGAAATTACAGACTCGTGAAGATTGGAAATACGTAGCAATGGTGATCGACAGGCTACAACTCTACATATTCTTCATAGTCACCACCGCGGGCACAGTTGGCATTCTTATGGACGCCCCGCATATCTTCGAGTACGTCGATCAAGACCGTATCATAGAGATATATCGAGGGAAATAAATACTATCTTAGTCATAAGTACAAAACAATTGCTTAAAAACGGCTTCCATTCATTCCTATTTGTATTTTTCGTAAAAGTAGCTCATGTTTTGTATAAATGTACCTATCTACTTAAGTGTGTTGATGATAAATGAATAAATTCAACACAGAAGTACACGAAGAATACCATGTTAGGTTTTGTGTCAAGCTACCTTGAGATTTCTTTATTATGTTGCAATATAACACTAAAACGTAACTAATACTAAATTATTTGACTTAGTGTGTAAGTAACTTAAAGAATATAAAATGGCTGTGTTCGAAGTTTATAAAAGCACAATAGGTAATTAGTATTAAGTGGTTTGTATTTTGTAATTGTATAATGTACCTACTTATAGGAATGTAGATAGTAGAAAACTTTTAAATCTCATTTTAATTTGATCTGAATTCTTGTTATCTAAAGCTCAAACTTTTAGAAAAAAACGTTATACAATTGTTTTTCTTTAATTCCTATTGTTACATGAACTTTGTTAAAGTTATTGTTTTAATACATTGTTTTCTGTAACTTATACATTTGACATAACTCGCAAACAAAACATCTGCGATACCTAAATATCTAGTAGTATGTGTAAACTATAGTTTAAATCTGGGTAAATATTGATGAAATAAAAATACAAAATATAAATATTGCTTTTATTTACCACCACAAATGCTTTAGAATTGATGTTTTTATCATGAACATTAAACATTTTATGTGTTACTACTAGGAATATTCTTCCATTCAAAGTATTTCACTGTGTCTATGTGGTAATTTGAAGAATGAGAACTTAAAACTACACTAATTTCAATAGCTTTAAAAATTAACTGACAAGAAGGGATCGAAACCTTACCTGTCAGTTGGACATTATCAGGGGCCCTAGTGTGAGTTTATTTCACATGAACGCGATCGTCACGGTGGCGGCGTTAAGCGTTGCAATTGGCCCGCATTGAAATCTTCACCAATCGCAACGTCGAGAGCGAGTTGATGTGAAATACACTCACACTGTGCCCTCAGGTCCCAGGATAACTTAAAACTAACAAAGGTAAATAGCATATAAATGCTTTAAAAATTATACAATTGATTTTGGAAAGTCGTATTTCATATCAGTGCATTATTAAAATTAATAGAGAAATAAACTGACCAGCTGATGTTCAATTGTGAACATAACATTAATATAGACTTAACCTATACAACGGTAATTTTAGCCTTAAAGTATATTTTTATTTTTTTTACGAATGCCCAATTCTAGTGTAGTCTCATCCTTATTTATTTTGTATGGTTTTTCTTAAACTTACATTTTTACACAAAGAATATAAGTTTAAAATATATCTATGTAAAGTAAATAAGACTGTCACTATGCTGGGAATCCACATATTTACATACATCTTATAACTATAGAATAGTAAAATAAATGTTTAATGATCTAATCGTCGCCGTCGTCATAATTAGGTGAGGTGGGAGAATATGTCGGTGATGTTGGAGAATACGTGCTAGGTCCAGCTGACGATGGGGAATAAGCAGGTGAAGAGGGCGAATAATTTGACGAGGTTGGTGTATAAGTCGGTGAGGTTGGTGAATACTTCGTCGAAGATGGCGAGTAGCCAGGAGAAGATGGAGAATAATTTAGTGAAGATGGGGAATAATTAGGTGAAGACGGTGAGTATCGCGTACTTCCCGCATGTTGAGGCGAAGAGGGTGAATAGGCTGGACTTGCTGGTGAGTACTGACGACTCGTGGGTGAATATTGTGGACTGGTCGGGGAATATGTTGGACTACCGCTTGCAACTGACGGTGATGTCGGAGAATAGTTAGGCGAGGCAGAATATTTGGGCGACGATGGTGAATAGCTGGGTGATGTCGGAGAATACGCAGGAGATGTGGGAGAATATGATGGACTTGTAGGAGAATAACCTGGAGATGTAGGTGTATAATTTGGTGAAGACGGAGAATAACTTGGAGAAGCAGGACTATAAACAGGACTTGTAGGCGAATAACTCGGTGAAGATGGCGAATAACCCGGAGAAGTCGGAGAATATGCTGGGCTTGTAGGAGAGTATGAAGGACTCGTTGGTGAATATGATGGACTTGTTGGCGAATAACTTGGTGATGTCGGTGAATAGCTTGGTGACGTCGGGGAGTAAGCAGGGCTGGTTGGAGAATAACTTGGTGACGTTGGTGAATAACTCGGTGATGTTGGCGAATATGACGGAGATGTAGGCGAATAACCGGGAGACGTAGGAGAATAGCTTGGCGACGTTGGCGAATATATAGGAGAGGTAGGGGAATAATTTGGTGAGGTTGGTGAATATGATGGACTAGTAGGAGAGTAATGCGGTGATGTAGGGGTGAGGCTTGGCGAAGCAGGAGCATATACGGGACTTGTAGGGGAGTATGACGGTGATGCCGCGGCAGGAGATGTATACGGGGAAAGTGGAGGTCCTGGAGACCCTGGAGAACCAGGCTGAGGAGACCAAGCACTATAAGCTGGCGATAATCCTGATGCATCTGATGCACCAGACGGCGAGAATGAAGGTCCTCCAGGAGTCATACTGCTTCCCACTGTTAAATGAATTAAATATAAAATTAATTATTTTATTTTATTTCAAATATCAAAAAAAAAAACGTAAAAAACTTTGTTTTATAAAAAAATGTGAAAATCATACCTTGGCCTGGAGACCACGCACTGCTGCCATATCCAGGAGTGTTCTGTGTAGACCAAGGAGTCATAAGCGGTGTCATAGAAGGAGTGCCGACTCCAAAATACATGCCGCCTCCAACTCCTCCAACACCTAAGCCACCCATTTCCATTCCGTGTTTACATTTCTCAGCATCAAGCAGCAAATCAAAACAACCTTAAAAAAAAAAAAAAAAATTAGCTACTTCATTTAGATTTGATATAGATGGAATTTCATATAATTGGCAAAATTTTAATGAAAAATCTTACCAGTTCCCATTCGCGGCAATTGTCCCATAATAATATTTTCAGATACACCCCTCATAGGATCTACTTCAGCATGACTAGCAGCGTCTAGCAACACATCAACAGTTTCTTCGAATGAGCACCTCATCAGAGCTCCAGTATCCTGTCTGTTAATGCCGTGACGAGTAATAGCCATAAGATGGCCTTTAGCAGTCATAACGTCACAAAGCAAGGCAAGATGACGATAATTTACGTAAAGACCATAGAACTGCAAGACAGCATTCATTTCTTTCTCCACTGACTTACGCACAGCTTCGATACCCAGTACTTGGAATATCTCACAAATATCGTTACTGAATGTCCTTATGGGGTCAACATCTCTCTCAGACAATACCTTCATCAATGAAGTACCATCAGTTTCCAGTAACCATTCAGCAATTGCCTTAAATTCTCCTTGTTCTGTGATTATAATGCGTTTTTTGGCTTCGGTTTGTGGTAAATGCATGTACACCTTAGCAATAGCTTCTATTCCCTGTAGTGTCATGTCTGACAGCATATTTGCCTCGATACATCTCAAGAACATATCATCTTCCATCTTATCAACTGTTTCTTCTTCGTTATCTTGGAATTTGCTCTCCTCGTTATTCATAATCCTAATACGTAAAACAAGTTTCTCAGCATTGTCGTCATTGAAAATACAATTCAAATCGTCTCCGAATCCGGCATTAATTTTTTCAGCAATCTGCTCCATAGTAAGTTTCTTATCTGTCATCCTCTTACGATCTAATTCAATACGAAGCAGCCATGGTGAAATCTTCGTAGGGTCAAAGTCAGGCATTTCGTAGTAAACATTTACAAATTCCTGATCCTCTGCTATAACAGTATTTTGAGGATCTGGATCGTAGTAAATAGCTGTGTTTGCAGTCACTTTGCGCAGTGTGGTATGTTCTAGTCTACAAAGTACATTTTTAGCTTTTTCAGCATCTCTAGCAGCACCACCAGTTAAAAACACTGTTAGGGATGGCGCTTTCGGCTTCTTTGAAATATTGATAATTTCCTTCAAACGCGGCACACCGAGAGTTACGTTTTTGGATGATACACCAGCAAAATGGAAAGTATTCAGTGTCATCTGAGTGGCAGGTTCACCTAGTGACTGCGCAGCAAGAGCGCCGACCATTTCACCGGGGTTGACTTGAGCTTGTTGGAATCTAGTTTCAATTTCTCCAATCAACCACTCAAAAGCAACAGTTGACAATCTGTATTCTTCAGACACAAACTTGGTACATAATGTTGATCTTACCAAACACTGGAATAGCAAGGTAGCGTTTTCGTTAGCTTGTTTAGAAAGACGATCTTCGCCTGCTACAATTACACATTTCTTTAAAAGGTCTTTAACACCTGATATAACTTTTATGGGGCTGAGATCTGTAGGCATTCTTTTGTTAATGTGGAAGGTTTTTTGAGCATTCCAAATCATTCTTTTGAAATTGCAAGGGAGTACAACCTTGGATTCACCACTTGGGAAAATTTGACGTAAGACTTCTCTATCTTTACAAAGTTGCTCCCATTCACTCTCCAAATCAGCAATAACATATCCTGATTCTGTCAACTCTTTAATAATGTCTTCACTGAATATCCTTTTCAGATATCTTTCATTTGATGGATCAAATTTGAATTTCTTTTCAAAAGCCTTGTTGGACAGCTTAATAGTTGGTAAATTCTGGAATTCTACTGTTTCTCCAGCTAAACCATCTTCTCCATATCTTAACTGAATGAGTTGTCCAACTGAGTTTCGAACAGTACCATCATAATGAACCATTACAGACTCCATAGCCTTTATTAAACGACGCTGGATATATCCAGTTTCAGCAGTCTTGACAGCAGTATCAATAAGACCTTCTCGACCACCCATAGCGTGAAAATAAAATTCGGAAGGTGTCAAACCGGCAAGATAGGAGTTTTCTACAAAGCCCCTTGACTCAGGACCATAATCGTCCTTAATGAAGTGTGGTAGAGTTCTTTTACGGAACCCAAACGGAATTCGTTTTCCTTCAACGTTTTGTTGACCCACACAAGCAATAACCTGGGAAATATTAATATTAGACCCCTTAGAACCAGCTACCACCATAGCTTTTAGATTGTTGTACTCAGTGAGAGATTTCTTGGCTGATCCACCGGTTTTGTCACGAGCATCGTTCAAAATACGATTTACTTGATTTTCGAATGTCTGTCGGAGAGTGTTACCAGGTGTAGGCTCCAACTCCATGTTGTGAGCCTTTTGGATAACTTCTATTACATCCTCTTTAGCTTTTACAATGGCGCGCTGAATTTCTTGGTAGGTTTGAGGATCAGCAATTGTGTCACCAATACCAATAGAGTGACCCTCTAGAAGCAACCAATTGTTAATTACTGTCTGAATGTTACCATAGAAGCGGCCAGCAGTCTCATGGCCTAATTCCAACATGCAAATATGTAGCAGAGAACCTGCTGAAGCACCAAGTGATTTTTTACACAAGATGCCCATAAGTAATTCACCATGTTCTACAACAACTTTTGTATCTCCAGGGGAAATCCACTTGTATGGTCCATCATCTTCTTCATCAGGATGTGTGGAATGAGCTCGAAGCATATTTATAGGTCCAGGAATTATCAAAGTAAATATTTGTTTTCCAGTCCAAAGAGGTTGGGGCTTCAAAATGCAAGGTTGAGGAATTTTCCCATCCCATGTGGGTAAGAACATGAGAAGATTCATAACTTGTTCTTTTGTGAGAAACACATCACGCTTTGTCATTTTCCTGACTGCAGTCAATGTGTCCTGTACAATACCCATGACAGGTTGGTTCGCTTGAGGAGTAATAATTTGTCTGGGTGTTATGTGAATATTCTCAACTTCTGCTCTTGTTTCCATAGACTGAGGTACATGTAAATTCATTTCATCTCCATCAAAATCAGCGTTGTAAGGAGATGTGCAACTTAAATTCATACGGAATGTTGACCATGGAAGCACTTTTACTCTATGCCCCATCATACTCATCTTGTGAAGAGTGGGTTGCCGATTGAAAATCACCAAATCGTCGTCTCTTAAATGTCGCTCAACTTTATAACCATGTTGTAAATGCAAGTCAGATGGCTTTGGATGAAACCTCAAATCTATTCTTTCTCCATTATCACGCACAATATACTTTGCACCAGGATACTGTGCATTACCTCTCCGCACAAGTTCCTGCATCCGGTCAATATTAAATGGTGTTACTAACTCTGGGAATGTTAAATTTTGTGCAATTGACCTAGGAACTCCTACTTGATCAATACGTAAGTTTGGATCAGGTGTGATGACAGTACGTGCTGAAAAATCAACTCGTTTGCCCATGAGATTTCCTCGTATTCTTCCTTCCTTTCCTTTGAGACGGGCCTTGATAGCTTTAAGGGGTTTTCCTGATTTCTGCATAGCTCTAAAAGGTAAAAATATTCATAACAGGTTTTGTAAGCAATTATATTTAATATAGAATTACACTTATTAATTAATAACTTCTACTACTACTTCTACTTTCTTCTAACCACTGTTACAATATTCAATAGGAAAGAAGACAGTTAACACTTTAATTGGAATAATAATATGTATAATAATATTTTCGGCAGTGTGGTGATGGATTAAAAATACTGTGTCACCACCCCTATTCATCACGTGGAAAACTAAATTGACTGATGGAATACTTATATATATATATTTTTAATTGTAAACATACATATTACACATAGAAAACACCCAAACTCCGAAACAAATATTTGCAGATCATACAAACATTTGGTCTGACCCAGGAATCAAACTCAAGATGTCAGCATAGCAGATGTATAGGCTACCACTGCACCACCGAAGCAGTCAAAGGAATTCCTTCATGGTTTTTCAGCCATTACAAAGCAGTGTTTATGTTTACATTACTTTTGTCAAACAACAAGGATTTTCTTATGATAAATTTAACGTGTCTAAACCTGTTCAGACATGAATTCCATACTTTTGAATGCATACAATTGATTGGTGTAACATTTTACATTAAGGTTGTGTGTTAAAAATCATTAAATGAAGGTAATTCTACTTTCTATTCACATAAATTCTTCAGTAATTAAAAAAAATTTACTTACTTGGGCATACCAGGCATATCATTATCTACAAACGTAGCTACATGAAACTGTAGCAATCTAATATTTTCTGCAAGCACATGGGCAGCTGCCCCTGACTGTTCATTACGCATCAATTCATTATTTCCCTTGATAATGTCAGCCAGTTTGTGTGTCAAATCATCCTGATTCTTTGCTGAACCAAACATGACTACAGCAGGTCTTACTGACAAAGGGGGTACAGGTAATACAGTTACAATCATCCAATCAGGTCGGGCAAACTTTGGATCCATACCTAGTATAAATGACTCTTCATCTGAAAGGAAAGTATGAACACAATTTAAAAAAGAAGTAGGTAATCAAATGACATACCTTTTCAATATGTAGTGTAAATTATACCTGTGATATGTTTAAGAATTTCCCATACTCTCTCTGCTGTAATTATTATTTTCTTTTCCTGTGTATCTTCATTGGCATGTTTCCATTCTGCAGTAAGATCAAGACCTTGTCTTCTGATAGAAGGCTGATAGCGTCCACAACCACCATGCCCTGAGCCTCTTTTGCCTTCCTCACCTTCCTTTCCTATATCCATATCTTCTCCACCCTCACAAATATTCTTGCCTTTACATAGGTCATAGACATAGGTCAGCCTCTTACGAGGCTGTCCTTTTGACTTCATTACAACTTCTTTTATCTTTGGATTAGTCTGAAAAGTAATATAAGTTAATTACTGGTCTTTATTGTATAACAAGTTATTGGTAATTAACAATTTCAAGGACTTATTTTTACAGTTTTATAATATTTGAAATTTTAGATGTGCTTGTAATAAGCATACTTTAAAGAGTTTAATTGCAAGGTATGATTAAAATATTGTTGTTTTAATTTATTTTCCGTTCAAATAATAAATTAAATCCTTAAAAATATAACAAATTCATTAAATTGACATTTACGCCATGTAAGTTTAGAATTTGATAATCCTTAAATTTGTCTATTTCTGATTTATCTCTAATTCCTTTGTTTCGGTATATTATAAAATTCAAAGGACATTAGTTAGCAACCAGTCAGCGATAGTTTTACATGAAAACGATTTGTCACCTGACCTAATTAAAATAGAATAAGTAAAATATAAAATGACTAAGTTAATAATTTTAAATGAACTTACCGGACTAACAAGTAATTTTGAACAATAAAAACAAACACATCTAAGTATTTTTATTGTTTTTGTGATAAAACCAATGTGAAATACTGGTTTGGCTAAATCTATGTGTCCAAAGTGTCCAGGACACTCAGTCATGTTTCCTGCGCATGTTTGACATCTAGAGCTTCTGTCAATCACCCCTTGTCGAGGGTCCATAAGTCCTCCAAGCTTTGGTCTACCACCTTCCATTGTTTCAGGGAATCGGATACCCCCTTCTGTGACTGACATCCTCCGCTAAAAACGATATAGTGATAATTGCGATAATCTTTTCCATAATTTTTTAATTCTTAACATTTATATATTGTTTGCTAATTTTAATCTCAGACACTTGAATATGAATTTAATGTGTAAACAATTGTTGGTTAACAATTTAAATAAATCAATAGATTTTTTATCTCAAAATGACTCATCAACTTAAAAAATATATATGTAAAGAGATTAGTATATTCATTGATAATATCATTTTAATGCTACTTTGAAATAAACATCGTGACAATAGACAGTGACAAGCTTTAATAACATGGAGCTCTAGAATGTTAGGGGTGACGTATTGTGCAACATTTCGTTCTATATTCTAAATTTTATAAAATATATACATAAGCACTAAACATTTTTAAACATAAGAAATATATTCAATTGTTATATTTCCGAAAACAACAGGATAATATGACTGAAAAAAGTATGGTTCATCGCAGACTGGAACTGCGTATCAACAGTCGCCAAATTACTAAGGGTTTTCCCAAATGCAGTTCAATTCATTTATTTATTAATCATCATAAGTATATTCAAAATACACTACTTACGATTTCATCTGGGGATAATATACCAAACTGCACTCTTTTTACCTGGCGCAAAGGCGCCTTCGAATCATTCGTGGTAGCCATTTTGATGGCTACTAGTGAAGATGTACTTTTACCAATAGCTTATAAAGTTGTTTAGTCTATGCCCAATGACTAGAAGTGTAGACATTTCGATAGTTAGTAAATCATGTGGTGAAATGCTGTGTTAGGGATACTTTAGCTACTTAGTTGAAAGTATTTCATCCTGCTCACTACAATCTATTTTAGAGTCGAATAAATACATGGAATGTTAATAAATCATAAGTGATGACAAATTATGTAATGCACATATTTTTTAGTCGAATGAAGAAAACTTAAAAATACTTTTAAAAAAAACTGTCCAACCTATAGTCACGACCGTTCCAATTCGAGGATTATTTTATTTTAAATATTTATCGACACTCATTTACATTTTCATGGATACGCTGAATGTTAAAAAAAAATAATGGATAGACTAGTGAAAAATATAGATTGTGATATTGCTCCATCTTTTATCGACGATTCCGACAAATTCAGGTGGAAGTTAGATTTATTAGTTAAAAGAAGTAGAGATATAATAGTATTACATTTTTTTTTTAAATTATTATCCACTAGTGGAGGTCACAATATACATACAAGAAAATTTCATAATAATAAAAACATTCCATATCAGTGACCACCCCACACCACCACAGTACCACAGGGTAGTGAACACATCATGCTTAAGTGACGGAATACAATATCATTTAAATAAGAATAAAAAAATAAGACCCAAAAATCAAAATACTGACAATATGCTAACAAACATGGAAAAATAAAATGGTTTCAAAAAAATAATTCAATTCTAGGTTTAGTTTAGCTAGGATATTAGCTTTGTCATTCTTGATTTTGGCTGAGGCCAAAGAACCTGTAAATATGTCGAACTGAGACCTGATGCCATTATAACTTTTACAGGTATTTAAGGAACTTCCTATTGATGTAAAAATCTTTTATATTAATTAATTTCATTGATCATTCACTCATTATACAGCTTAAAGATGCTGAAAGAATCTCGAGCTTGTGTGATCGTAAGGAAAAGAGAAAATTTCTAAAAAGAGAACTTTTATTTTTCAAATTAATATACAATACCCATTGATTATTTTAAATTTAGGGGCCCAAACTGCAGAACCAACTAATATATCTAAGGGGCCGTCTCCACGAGCGAGAGAATCGTGCCGAAATTGTCGTCGTGCCACGTATTTCTACAAATTTTATTAGATTGTGTGTATGAACGGCGAAGTTATCGCTGTGTGGTCGCACGTTCGCCATGCGCTCGCCGCACAACTTGGCGCTCTCGCAGCAAGAGCGCGGTGAGCGCACTGTCAAGCATAGGCATCCTGCCCGCATCGTTTCTGCCTGCCTTACCGGTATGCCATAAAGTATTGAGTATAGAGACAAGGAGAACCATCTCATATGAGGGGAAACTTGAAAAAATGTCCAGCTGTATACTGAAAATAGACGTTATAAAAAAACTACGATATTAACATAGCTGTTGTAAACGGGGTGAAGTGTGACGAGATAAAATATTTTATGTACCTTTCTAAAAACACACAACGTTGAGGTGAAGAAGCTGTCTTGGACACGCCGTTATCGCAGCGGCGAGACCCGTTATGGAGAATTGGCTCGAGAGGCATCACGGAAACCTCTCATACCGGTTGGCGCAGGTGATCACTGGGAAAGGATGCTTTGGAGATTACCTGTGTCTGATCCGCAAGGAGCCAACACCTGAGTGCCACCAATGCGATGGCCGAACCTTGGATACGGCGCTCCGAATTGCCGGCGTGGGTGGAGCAGGGACGTTGAATCGTGGCGGCCATCGGAGTAGTTATTCTCTTGCTCGGTAACATGATTGGCGCCATGCTACGGAGCGAGAGTGCGTGGAATTCCACCGTAGCTTCTGCAAGCAAGTTATGCTTACAAATGAGATGGCGGAGCGGGACCGGGAGAGGTTTAGAACCCTCCTGGCCCGCTAGGCCCGGGAACGGGCCACGTATCGTAGACCTCCGTCCTCCATAAGCGCAGGCCTGGGGGTGGCAGATGAGGCCATCTGTCACCCTAGCAGGAACAGGCCGGCTGCGGAGCGCGCGCGCCCTTTCGGAAGCACAAAGGGGACATAGTGGAGGGGGGGGGGGGGGGGGCAAATACGTGTATTAGATGGTTCGTGGTACGTCGGGGTATCAGGGATTTCCTTCCTAGGGTACATCTGGTACCCGTGTCGGCTGCGGTTTTTGGTCGGTTCGAGTCCGAAATAACCACCGGTTAGTTGTATCCAAGGGGATTTCCGCACAGAAAAAAAAGAGGTGAAGAAGCTGTCTGTGATCTTTGACTAATTTATGAACAAACCACCTTTATTTGTAGTTTTACCTGTTTTGTTCTCCTGTTTCTCACCAGAGTAATCGCGAGGTAATCGCGAATGCATAAAAGTTGCGGTGACAGCTGAGTCTTGGGCCAAGTAGACTCACCGTGCACGGGGACGGCCGCCGCCACAGCACGAACAACACAACGGGGCACCACGCAGACCGTGTTGTGGTGTGGTCTGCCCCCACACATCCCGGACTTGAAACTGTGGGGACTGCGCGAAGTCGCCGCCTCTGTCGGTAGTCGCTCGGACCTGGGCCCACCCAGGTGTCACCTGGGGTCTCACCTGGCTCGGGCTTGACCGCCGAGGTGGCGTGAAGATCGAAACGATCCCCCACACAACAACCGAAAAGGACATGCCATTACCGACCCCCAATTAGGGGTAGCGAAAGAAGCCGCTGGTAGGGGAATACAGCACCGATCCAGCCTCCACACATCCCCCGCGGGACCGTTTGCAGACCATCGCTAGTTTGAACTCATAGCGTTTGTGATTTTTGTACCTAACGGTCAAACATTAGTTTCATTGCGTGCAACTGATAGTAAGTAAAAAAAGTGTACAAAATACATAATACATTATAAAGAGGTTGACGTTAAAGGCGGTGACGGATTCCAATCAGACAGAAGACAGTGTTTCTTCGTCATCTTCTTTGTCTTCGGATAATAAGGAAGGATTGGCAAATCCACCACATAACTTCCCACACGTAAGTACAAAGATCAAAATTAATGTGATCTACTACTGGATCATTTAATAAGTCAAACTTCTTACATAATCCTTGCTAAATTATCTTTATGAAGACCTTAATTGAGTACAATTTAATGTAATAAAATAATATTTTGTAAATACCTCTGGCTAACAAAGAACGTCTTCATGCAGAAACTGTAACAGTTACAAAGATTCAGTACAGATGTTTAGAGATCTATCAAGCATAAAAAAAGCCTTGTAATTAGCTCCACCAGTTCGAGTTTTGTCACCCTTAGGATTATCTTGTCTTTTTAATAAACAAGGGGATTAATCACAATAAACCGAGAATTGTCATCAGATTCTTGTTGATTAGTGCAACTAGCCACAAGGGAGCGCTATCGTCATAAGTATACTTTTCAATAATTAAGGTGGTAGAAGGAACTAAGTTCCTTCTACAACCTTTATGCAGATGATTTACAAATATGTACACAAGCTCCGATTAACATGTTATCGGATGCATTCAACATAATTAATGCTGACCTTCAACGCATTGGCGAGTGGAGTTATAACTATGGACTTATGATTAATCCTATGAAGACACAGGTGTGTGTTATTGGCAGCCCCAGGCTGATCTCAAAAGTTAACTGGACTCTACTGCCCCAAATTCAGTTCGGTGGCACAACTCTTGAGATAAGCACTACTGTAAAAAATTTAGGGATCTACATGGACAACACCTTATCATGGGGTTCACAGATGCTAGAGGTCAGTCGTAGGATATTTGCTTCAGCCGGTTCTCTTCGAAGACTACGCAAATTCCTTCCAACTGCAACTAGGGTTGCGCTTGCACAAGCACTTCTCCTCCCAATTCTCGACTATGCCGATGTCAGCTATCTGAATCTCACTGAAGCACAAATCGATAAGCTTGAGCGACTACAAATTATGTGTATACGATTCGTATTTGGTTTACGAAAATACGATCACGTCTCTGAATTCCGTCAAATGCTCAAGTGGCTTCCAATTCGCTCTCGCCGGAATACTCATATCCTTATTTTCCTTTACAACATTTTGTTTAATCCCAAAACCCCTTTCTACCTCAAAGAACGATTCAAATTCCTTAATGACACACACGAAAAATGTCTGCGGTCATCCGTAAGTTTACAACTGGAGATGCCACTGCATTCCACCAAATTTTATGATTAATCCTTCACTGTTGAAGCTGTGCGCTTGTGGAATGCACTGCCGCTTAACATCAGGCAGGCGCAAACATTAAATAGATTCAAGAAAATGGTACAGGAATTTTATTCACTTTGAGTCCATCACGCTTGAGGGTGTAACGAAACTGTTTCTCTTTTCTATATGTTTATTCATTTAAGAATGCGTATGTATGTGTATATGTATATGTGTATATGTATATTTGCTAGTATAGTATGTAGGTACTTATATATATGTAGGTTTATTTATTGTGATATGCATTGTAGATGTAAGTATAAAAATTGTAAATGTTTGTAGATAATATAATAATACATGTAATATGTATAGTAGATAATAATAAACTAATAGTAGGTTCACAAATGCAGATATTCAACTACTACTGTCTCTCTGCAACTTTTGATCCATCCTAAGGTTGCCTGGAAGAAATTGCATTTAGCAATAAGGCCGCCCTTTGTACACTCGATATTTGATCGCTGTGTTCCTTTCTTGTAACTCTGTAATTTAGTGTGCAAATAAAGAGTTATCTATCTAATCCGCCTACTGACACATTATTGCACATCATGGCAAAAAGGGCAGAATGTAATGAATACTGAGAGGGGTAATATTGTAAAGGAAATAAATGGTGCGGATCTCGAGGTTACGTTGCAATTTACTCGTTGTAGTGTGGTAAGTAAGTAAGTAAGATTCGTTTAACATTGTTGTTATCTGTGGGCTAAATTTTCTACACTATAATAATAATAATAATATATCTCACACACTCCCACATGGCCGTCTGATCCCAAACTAGGCAGAGCCTGTACTATGGTAACCAGACCGCTGATAAACATACTTATATATTTCTAAATACATACATATTATAGATAAATGGGGATAATGGGATATACTATGGGGGAAATAGTGCAGAAATTTATCTGATCATGAAAAGTTACTCTGTTATTCAGTCTTTAGATGGCATTGAAATGTGGTTGAGAGCTCCAACATATTTGCCATCCTTTCATGTTCATCATATGCATGTAAAGTAAGAAAATAAAAATGTATATACAACTTGCGGTAGAATGCGCTGCACTCAAATCCATACTAATATTATAAATACGAAAGTGTGTCTGTTAGTTACCTCTTCATGCTTAAACCGCTGAACCGATTTAGAAGAAATTTCATATAGAGATAGTCTGTGTCACGGGAAAGGACATAGGGTAGTTTTATCCCAGAAATCATCTTTTTAGGGGTTAAAAGGGTTGTGGAAATTTGTATTAAAAATTAAATAAAAATAAATGTTTTGGATAGAAAGAAAAAAAAAAACCATTATTATTACTATTTTTATTGCAAAGTCATGATAATAAATATACTTTGGCAGAACAAAAAGATTCTAGCATCCACAAATATAATACAAACTTTTCGGCATATAGAAACTATGTAAGTATTTATGAAGATCTTATGCTATCTTTTGATTTTCCTATACATTACTGCTGGAAGCGTTAGAGATGTGGAATTCGAGAAAATCTTTGAGTAAAGTAGTTCGTCTTTTTTCGGCTATATCCATTTGGTTTTCTAAGTCGCCTCTATCTGTTGTTTCTGCTCTCTCGACCTTCCACGATAAATTCTCAATTTCAGCCTCCAACTGCGCCTAAAATTAATAAATAATACCCAGTGTGTAACATACATGATTATGCCTTTGTGATTACTTAGCTGTACAATATCGCGCACTGGCTATTTGTCACTACAGTAATTACATGAAATCATCAGTCATCAAACAGCTTTTTATTAAATTGCTTAGTTAAAATAATTGTTGTGTGTGTGAACTTTCTTTGAATTATTTTATTTCTTTATTTACTAACCTGTTGATACTCGAATAATTCTTTGCGAGGCCCAACCTCCATATAATAAGCATACGGATAAGTATATTGCAACGTGTAGCGACAACGCTTCAGCAGTTTAGCAGCATCCCAAAGATATTGCCAATCAATCCAGGTGCCTTCACCAGCCATAACCTGTATTTGAAGAAAACCAATTATCACAAAATTCATACAAACTTTCTAAAGTAGCAGAGCTAGGTAAACTTGTAACGATAATTATTTTCAATAATATTGTCCAGATTCTTACCTTTTGATTAATTCTACTTTTCTGCTCAGCTAAAGTCTGTTCCTCCAGTTTCAAGGATCGCGCATGATTTTCCCATCTTTCGTAGTAATGTAAATATTTTTTCAAAGCTTCTCTGGCCTAAAGAATAAAATCTATATTGGTAATCTTATAACACAGATTTCTTAAACATATATGCAGTAAATTCGGTTTAAAACCGTTGGGCAAATTAATAAATCTATATTAATTATTTCTAAACACCGGTCTAGAAACAACTAATATAATGAAATAAATATATCTATGATTTAGACATAGATAGCTATTGATGTGTTTATTTGCAATAAATAACATCAAAATGTTTAAATCAAAGTTTAAACTTGAAATTCGCTTAGAATGGGATGACCAAATAAAAGATAATGTACACTAGATTTCTCACTTTCATATTCACTTCTATAATATATATATATATATATAATATATTTTTACTTATTTTATTTCAAATAAAACTTCCTTAACTTACTTGAGCGTGTTGGTTATCGTTGCTCATGTTAGGATCTTCTTTGTAGCGACTGCACTCATAATATTCAGAGCCGTGAGTCTTCCAATCTCCTAAGCAAACCCAGCAAAAATCATGTCTACATGCACCACACTGCATATGATTGCACCCTCCATTTTTTTCTATGCAGATCTGACACTTTGGGCAATCCTGTAAAAGAAATCAGTAGGCTGTACAGTACAGCCACTAGTGTTTTATGTGAATGTGATCTTTAAATTGCGGAAAAGTGAGTTGTATATATTTCTCATAACTTGATATACCAGTGTGCATTATACTAGGATCAAAAACTTAAAACATAGATATGTACTTAAATCGCTAAAAATAACACAAACAAAAAAATTTAACTATAGAGACTTCAAAGCCCACAAAGCGACAGTTGAATTGCATTACTTGTTTAGAATTATTAATAATAATAATAATAATAATAATAATAAAAATGTTTATTTCATCTCCACAAATTACATTTTGTTTTATATTTAACAGTTGACAGGAAAACTGTCAAGAAATTTGCAATTTGTGGGAGATCTGGAGTCTAAACTAAGCCGAGGCCTGTACTATAGATCTCCAGGCCCCCCATTACATAACACTTAGCAGATTTGTCAACATGTCAAAAGCGTACTAGAGTGTGTGAATGAGTAAACAGTAAAAAGATTTTGCATTAAAAATATATATACGAAAGGTTGCGCTGTGAGGGCGTGTGTGTGTGTGTGTATGGGCGTCTGGTGTGTGGGTGTGTGTGTGTGTGTGTGTGTGTGTGTGTGTGTGTGTGTGTGTGTGTGTGCGTGTAGCGTGTGTGCGAGGATGGTTAGGACTTGTACTTTTCTTTTTGTTTTTTTTTTTGAGTATCAATTTTGCTTAAATTTTCGTCCGTGGTATGTAGATAGGTGTATAAATAATAAGCATAAATAAATGTGTTATAAATTAAGTAATACCTATAGTGATATACAAAGTTTAATGTCAGGAGTGTAACATATGCATAAGTATACATATACAAACTCATACGTACACGTAATGAACATATCAATCTATATTCTTACATCTAAGATTTTTTCTGTTTCCGAGTAACTAAGCTTCAGTAACCATTTTTTAATTATATTTTTGCATTCGGTTTTACAAGAGTTGGACAAGGGAATTATTTTGTTTACTTTGTTATATAGCATACCTCCTCGGTATGATAAAAACCTTTGTGCAAATGAGGTATTTACGGTAGTAGGCTCACATACTGCATAGTTTCTTCTAGTCTGAGCTATGTACTTTCTTCTGTCTTCCGACAAGTCAGTATGTTTATGAAGCACAGATAGCATTATATAAAGTTGGCGTACAGTGAGGACCTGTGCTTCGTCGTAAAGCTTAGAAGTTGGAAATAGCCGAGGTTTTGATAGGCTTACTTTCAGTATCATCCTTTGAGCTCCTTCGAGGGTTATCATTTTGGTTTTACAAGCTCCTCCCCAGGTAGTGATGCAGTAGGATAGTATAGACTGCACTAGGGCCTCGTATACCAACCTTACAGTCCGCTTATCAGCTACGCCGCGTAGTGCTTTAAATATATATGTTAGTTTTCGTATTCTATTGGACAGTGTTTGTATGTGGTTTTCGAAATTTAAATTAGCGTCAACTTCGATTCCCAGGTACCTAATACATTTTGTAGGGGTAATTTTGGTGCATGTACAGTTTGGAGTAGGAGGAGAATTACATTTATGCACATATATATTATTGGTAAGATCGGCTATTTCCCTTCGGTTTTGGATAGAGAACACAATGAATTTGGTCTTATCTTCATTTAAGGTAAGAGAGTGAACTATTAGCCAGTGACAAATCGTGTTAAATCCTTCCTGTGCAAGATTAAAAAGTTCATTCCATGAATCTGCGTAAAAGGTAAGAGCTGTGTCATCTGCATAAGCCGAGATGCGGCAGTTTTTAATGTTAAGTAAGCAGAGCTCATTGATATAGCAGATAAAGAGTGTTGGGCCGAGAATACTACCTTGCGGCACCCCAAATGCAATTGGCAATTCGTCACTAATGTTGTCACCGATTTTCACGCATTGGGTTCTATTATGTAGATAATTGGACAACAATGCCAGTGGGATGCCTCTTATGCCATGAGCCTCCAGTGTCTCCACAAGGCAGGGGATAGAAACAGTGTCAAAGGCCTTTGCAAGGTCGAGAAATATAGTCAAGCATTTCTTTTTATTATCTAGTTTAGATACCAGAAAGTTGACAAGGTCAAGTACAGCATTGTTGGTTGAGCGGCCTAACCTAAACCCATATTGCGAGTTCGAAAGTAGATTGCCGTCTTCTAGGTATTTAATAAGCCGAGTGTTAATAATGCGCTCAAATAGCTTCGATAATGTAGTTAAGATTGCAATAGGTCTATAGTTACTAACACTGCACCTATCACCCGCCTTGTGTATAGGAAGCACTACAGCTCTTTTCAATGCATCCGGAAAAACCCCAGCCTCTAGACAGCGGTTTATCAAATCAGTTAGAACAGGTGTTATTGCATTGGATGTAATTTTGAGACTTTCGGCACTGATCTGATCCCAACCTGGTGCGCAATCACTTCTTAGCTGCTGAATTATTCTCTCAACTTCTCCGTCGTCGGTTGGTAGAAGAGTAAAAGATTTTGCAGGGGGCTTAATTACTTTTTTTAAATTGGGAAAGCGAGCGCGCACAATCGTATCCGCTAGACGTTCACCGATACTAGAGAAATATTCATTTGTTTTGCAAACCGCTTCTTTAGGATTGTCAGCGATTGTTAAAAGATGTTGTGGCTGTTGATTTTTGTTACTACTGTTAGTAATTGTTTTAACGGCGGACCAAAGCTTTTTTGCATTATTTTTAGACATTATTAGTTGATCTCTCTCGTACTGTTTTTTTCAGTTTTTTTAATAAATTATTGCAATAGTTTCGATACCTTATGTACGCTATTTTCAATATTTCATTGGTTTTATCTGATTTTAATTTTTTGTGCATTCTATCCCTTGTGCGTATACAACGTAACATACCAATAGTTATCCAGGGTTTTATTATAAATTTATTTCTAGGAGTTAAGTGTTTTATCGTATTTTTTGCAATTAATTGCTGCATAATAGTAATGAAATTAGTCATTGCAGTATTTAAATTTGTTTCCTGATAAACTTTGGCAAAGTTATATTTGTCACAGTCGAATTTTAGTCGTTCTTTGTCAATTTTACAGATCATTTTTAGCTTTGTAGATTTATTTATAGCAACGTCAGCTTTTAGACTAAATAAGACTGATTCATGATCCGTGATACTGGTTCCTAGGATAAATGTAAACGCATTTAGTTTCGTTTTTAGCAATACGTGATCTAAGCAGGATTTTCCCCTAGTTGCAGTGTAGATGGCAGGAAGTAGTCCATGGAAGGTGATAGTGTCCATATACGCTGTATTGGTGTGGCTCGTTTTAATGAGGTCAATATTTATATCGCCAACTATAACAATATTTTTGAAAGATGAACAACCTTCTAGTAGTATGTGTAGGGAATCAATGAAGGTATCAGGTGTTTTGAAACTTGGCGGTCTGTAAATCGCGATTAATATTGTATGATTTTGTATTTTAATTGTAAGGCAATTAGCTTCCAATAGAGTGGGTTCCTCTACAATACATTCTAAGTTACTGTTTGTGTAGACTACAAGGCCGTCGTTTTGATTGTAGTTATCATTGGTTTTAAACGAGTTATATCCCTCAAGCACCGGCAAACCCACGACACAAGACAGCCAGCATTCTGACAGCACTATAATATCACAGGGGGAGTTCAATCGTTTAAGTAGAAGTTGTAACTCCTGAAAGTTGCAGTTCAGGCTACGGATATTTTGTTGTAGTATATTTAAATATTGCGTAGGATGTTGAAGATGTGAGATGCACTCTTCCGGTTCACAAGAAATAGGGACAGAAATATTAAATTCGTCAATATTTTGTATTAGATTATTTGTGGTGTCGAATGTTACGTATAATTTATTACTAGTAATAAGAGAGTACGCATAAAAATATTTGTTTTAATTTCGTAGTAAGGTAAGAGCCGCATTCGTTCTATGTGGACAGTAGAAAAGACGAAGTAGATTAAGACTAATTTACTCCATTGCATGTGATGGGAAGAAAGTATGTAGCGCAGGTATACAATTGTTATGAGATAAGGGAATATTGGAGGTTTTTGTTTAATGCTTATGTATTTTATGTATCCGTGCATTGATAGATTTTTTATATAATAAATATATTTTTTACCGGGTAATATAACATAGGTATGTGTTGTAGTGTAGAATGTGTATGTGTTTATTGTATGAGTCTGCAAATATGCTTTGAGGGTATAGTGTATTGGTAGGTTGAGAGTGTAGACAGACAAATGCAAGTGCACTATTAAAATAACATAAAGATAATGGTAAATACATTTGTAGCCTACAGTAATATCGTGATATTTAGTTTTTAAAATTATATATCTTGACTTCACTAAATAGTATATGGATATGAGTCATTGTGCCCTTAGTGTTGTCAAATCTGCTTCACAGGAGATCAATTTTGATGGGCCACCTTCTTTTTGTCGAATATATACCCTTCCATACGAAGTCCAGCAGCCTGCGTATTTATTGTTTTTGACAGATTGACGTGCTAGGAAATATAAACGCCTTCCATTTGAAGTGAGAGACTCCGAAACAAAAATAGGTTTAGATTCGCCGGCTAACTTCAGATGGCCAGTATTCAGTTTCTCTTTGTTCTCCTTATTGAAAGTTTTCGAGGTTTTCAACATATTTTCTTTAAGTGTAGTCGCTGAAAATTCCACTATTACTGGAGCTATTTTATTTTGTGACATTTTCGGCCTAAATATGTTTCGTATATCGGTTTCCCGCACCCCAACCCCCAGAACGTCACCAATATTTTTCACCAAGCTGACTAGTGTTGATTTATTTTCAGACTGTTGTTCTGGTATATTTCTGAGTTCCAAAGTTGACGCTTTAGCATTTCGTTCAAGCAACTCGATCTTTTGTTCAAATAGTTTGATTTGCTTTTTGATCGCGGTGTTTTCGGCCTTCGTTTGCTTAAGTTCTTGCAAGATTTCGTCGTATTTATCCGACATGGTCTCAATAGAAGTTTTAATATCCGTATTTTGTTTAATCATTTTATTCATTTCTGTATCTAACTTCAATTATATTTCAAACACGATATATAAACCAGGGTTGTTGCGAATATCAGTATCAGCATCCGCAACAATCGATGCAGATTTTAATGCCGACATTCAAGTCGTAATATGTTTGTTGAAGGCGGGATCTAGCCAGTCACGTAGAGTGTTAACCAATCATATACAGTTATATAAGTAAAACATAAAACTTCGGCTAAAAGAGCTGTCATTTGTGCCCTGATTCGATTGTTTTGTCAACAGAAATTGATTAGACGTTAGTGATATATTGTGTGACGTGCATGCGTAATACGTGTAATCCATTCTTATATTATAAATGTGAAAGTGAGTTTGTTAGTTACGCTTTTACGCCTAAACCACTGAACCTATTTTGTTTTCTTTGAAAAAACCAATGGACAGCTACATTATCAGCGAGTAACATAGGCTACTTTTTACCGCGATAACCGACATACAAGCGGGCGCTTAGAAACCATTCCATAAAAACCTAACTGTAATCTGTAATTATGACAAGTGAGAAACTCTACGAGGAGGAGGTTTTACATTAATAGCAACAACAATAACAATTACATTACATATTTACTTAATAATAAATATTATTTATAACATTTCATCATCATCATCATCGTCAGCCTATCACAGTCCACTGCTGGACATAGGCCTCTCCCATTGCATGCCACTTAGATCGATTTTGGGCTTCTCGCATCCAGCTCCTGGTCGGAGCTTGATTTTCATCAAACAGACGCGTTCAGCCTTAAAGTTGATATTCAGATAGTCGGTGATCACTACCGGTATTAAAACCTATTGATTACTGAGACGTCTCTGAATATGTGCTTCCTATCCGTCATGATGAAATCGATCACATTTCTGGTCAAAACTTCGGGGCTTTGCCACGTCCACTTCCTTTGGGGCTGTTTCTTGAAGAAAGAGTTTATCAAAAAGAGCCCCTCCCGTTCGAGAAAGTTGACCAGCATTTGCCCCTATGATTCCTGCTTCCAAATCCATGGGATCCTACTACCGATTGGCCGCAATTCTGTACTCCCACTTTAGCGTTGAAGTCTGCATGGGGAGGATTTGTCCATAATCGCCACGCTGGGCAAGCGGGTTGGCGATCTCAGGCCGTAGCTTGTCACACCGGTGACGCTGTTGCCCGTCCCCGGCCTGTTGTATTTAGCTACGCCTATTGGGATGGATATACCGCCATCGGTCGTTCGCCAGAGCCTCGTTCGTCGTTCAGCAGGATGCACCGCGGGCAGGTGAGGTTGGCTTGGGGCGAAAGATGGTGGTTCGCCCCCTTACACCCACACACACTATAACATTTATAACTATTTTATGGTACAGAAAAAACTTACAAACTAAAAATACTAAATTAAAAAACCTGAAAGCAAAAGAACATCTAAATAATGAAGAAACACTTCACAGGAATTTCTATATGTTATCTTTAATTTTACCTTGGTATGAGCACTGATATAGTTTGCCGTTTCAGAATCATCAGCACATTTGGTGAGCCAAAGGCGAATAGTGGCGCAGTCAGTAGGAGCATGGTGTGGCGCTCCACATGAGAAGCATGTCAGTAGCTCACAACCCTGGCATTCCACTCGGCGGGCGCCTTCACGAACCCCAGCTCGAAATATCCACTGCATAATATTTATGGGTTCAGCATCCAAATAGATAGTTACTATTGGGTAATGATAAGCGTCAATGAATTCCTAGCAATTATGCACTTTTTTACTCAGAATATTATTATCTCGATTTATCTGAGCCTCTTCTAATCCTTCTGCTGATCGAGTTATTCAAGGATGTAAGTAATATAGGTTCCTCATTGGAATTCATATGAGTAGTTAATATGAATTCCAATGAATCCCAAATCTGTGAGGAACATAACAAATACAATCACAGAAATACAGATGAATGGTTTATATGTATATAAAAAGAGAGATAGATTGATAATATTTTTTTACATCATCATCATCAGCAGCCTTTAATAGTCCAAATCAAATACAATGCCCACTTTAAAAAGTAAAAACAGGAGAAGTATATGACTCATTTTCATTACATAATAAATAATAGGAAACAATGTAGCTGAATACACATTTTCCTCTTTAAAGGATTTGTAGCTTTACATAAGGTTGTTTTGTTTGTATTTGTTTATTTTACTCACCTGACAGTTAGGGCCTGGGCAGAATCTAAGCTCAGGATGAGATTTCACATGATCCTTAAACATGAATTGTTGGTATCTTTCACGTAACGCAGGTTTAGTTACTTGAGATAGAACAAAGTCTTCTGGAGCTCTCACTTCACATTCAGGTGCCATGCACTGTATGGTGTTTGATACACCTGAAAGGCAACAAACAGCAACACCAGATGTAGAACTCACAATAATATCACACTAATGTTATAAAGGCAAAAGAGTGTGAGAGTGTTTGTTGCTTCTTCATGCACAAGTGGCTGGACCAATTTTAATAAAATTTGGAATGGAGGTGACTGACACCCTGGATTAAACACACAGACTACTTTTTATCCCAAAAAAAAGTAGTGTTCCCATGGGATGAGCGAGGCATAGAAATACATTTACTGCTATGCAGCTAAACCTGCACAGTGCAGCTACTATGTAATGAAATATAAGAACATACAAAGGAACTTGATTTATTTGATAATATTAGCATTCTATAAATCCAACAAGTTACTATGTTAAAAATATACTTCAAGAACAATTGTAGACTAAAAAACCTAACAAGTAGTATGTCATTAATATATTTGCAACATTATGGTTTCCAACATACAATTTTCACATTGGTTTATATGTTTGTTAACAACCCTCACAGGCTTTTGGCTTATTATAACAATTGATAATTAATAACCAGTTTGTAGAAATAGAAGTACATAATATTTCTTATTTACAGTGAAAAATCCTGACATTATAACTATATTATAATATTAAAACCAATTTACTATTTCATAATTATCACACTAATTAGCGTGCAAAACAGTATTTACAGATATTCTTAAATAAATAAATGACAAATAAGTACCTACTAAATTTTTTTGTATTATTGATGACAGCATTCATAGTATTTGAGAATATACTATTTAGCCATTTTCTTTACTTGAATTGAACTTCACCTCACCAATAGTGTTGTAAGTAGAATAGGTAGGTATTTCATGTAAACAAATGGTATGTATGTTTTATTAAATCTAGATATGAAATATATGATTCTTACCTTGCATAATTTGTACTTCAAAATGCATTGCCCAGCAATCATTACAGAAGTAATGACCACAAGCAAGTCCACTGTACTTATTTAGTGGTGGTGTACTTGCACACACAGCACAGATTGTGCGACTGGAGCTGGCGAGGATTGAAGCCACACGAGGCTTGACATGGCTAAACACCAAAACTTCATTAGCATTTTCTTTATACTTATTTATAATCTCTTGAGCATTCCATTCATAGGCATGAAGTGTAACCTGAAATACATACAATAGTGATCAATAGATAAACCACTCACACACACCTCTAAGTAATATCATTTTATAATCAAATGCTATACCTTGGCTAAGGAAGGCGTTATTTGAAGGCTATTGCTGAGTAATTCAATCGATTCATTGAGAAGCTTCTCTACCTCCTCAACCTTTAAGCACGTATAAACAAAATATTCAGGATCGGTCTTAGTTCGATCTACAGTGTCCATGTCACAGTCATCTTGTTCTCCATAGTAATCATAGTCGTCGTTATCAGAATATTCCATATCTGATTCCGCAGACATTTTGTTAGTTGTTTTAATTCAAGATGAAATGAAGATGTTGGAAAACACTGAAAAATATAAATTTGTTGCAGATATTTTTGGTTGACTCATAATCTATTCCCGACAAGAAATTTCATACTTATAAATGAAATGTAAGAACTCGGTAAAATAACAACAACAATGAAAAGTACTTCACAGTCTAGTTTTTCTTTTTTTTTCTCCACTAACGCTAATTATGACGGGCTAGAGCTTTCTCTGTGGGAGACATAAATAGAGAGCGAGCAACGAATATTTAAGATTTCGACATCTGTATATTGATTCTCGTAAAATGTTAAAATTTAGGCGATTTTTTCATCTTAACCATAAACAAAGCACTCTTTTCACCACAGAATACCAATACCCTAGCTAGACAGTAATACCTAAACGCTTCGGTTTACACTCTTATCAAAATAATTTTGACATCTCATGTCATTGTAAGTCATTCACCAAAGGTCACCTTGGTGAAATTTAGGATTTGCATCGGGAAATTTTATTGTTTTATATTGGTTCATAGAAGAATTTATTGTGGTACGAAAAATATACAGTGATAAAGTGAAGTGTTGTAAATTTAGTTCTGGCAAAGAATTTTGTTTAACATTATGTAACATCAGTAATAAATGCTTTATTACGACTTGTAGGTGTCGGGTAAAATTGAAACTGCTACGATGGAAGTGTCTACAACTCAAAAATTTATAGGCCGTGGTTCCCATAAGGGAAAAGGCCTGGCCGTGTTGACAAGTGGTGGGGACTCTCAGGGAATGAATGCCGCTGTTCGGTCTGTAGTCCGAATGGGTATATACTTGGGCTGCAAAGTGTACTTTATTCGGGAAGGATATCAAGGCATGGTGGATGGTGGTGATAACATTGAAGAGGCGAATTGGTCCTCTGTCAGTTCTATTATCCACAGAGGTGGAACTGTTATTGGATCTGCTCGTTGTATGGATTTTATGTAGGTGTTTTTATTATTATTTCTTATAAATACACTATAAAACGTATAATAAATGAAATGTACAGTTGTAATATCGAAGGCAAGATCTTTAAGATGGTTCAGGTTTAATGATATGACAACTGTTGCTTACAGTTGATACAGATATTTTATTTAATGTGCACTGAAACTATGGCAAGACTTTCTATAACTTAGGCCTGTATTTTAAAAGGTTGTCTCAGTTGTGAATCTATTCTTAAAACTCCTTTTAAGTAGAGATTTTAATAATGAACTTCAATTAAGAAGAGATTCATCAATCTGTACTCAAGTGAGTGATAGCATACATATTTTAGAATGATGTTTATGTCAAAATATTTACTCAAGTATATATTTTGACAGATGTGATTTTTGTTTACATGAGACAAGCTGAAACTAGTGTCAAGCAGTGATTTCTAGTTCATTTTAAAGGAAATGAAAGTGTTTTATTATGATTTGTTTCTGAATAATTATGTAAGATTTACTCTATTTTATTTAGTACAGAATTACGTGTTATACATAATCAATTCACTTCAATTTACTTTAATTGATATTCAATTCACTTAATTTCACCATTTACACGTACAATACGTTTTTAAATTAAAGCCACCACAACTTTGATGTTTATGTTAAAGTATAATATTATTCAAGTAATAAATCTAGTTTTATGGAAGTTATGGGAAGATATTTTAGAATGATGTTTATGTCAAAATCTTTACTCAAGTATATATTTTGACAGATGTGATTTTTCTTTATGTGAGACAAGCTGAAACTAGTCTCAAGCAGTGATTTCTAGTTCATTTTAGAGAAAATGAATGTGTTTTATGATGATTTGTTTCTGAATAATTATGAAAGATTTACTCTATTTTATTTACTACAGAAATACTTTCAATCAATTTACTTTAATTGATATTCAGTTCACTAATTTCACCTTGTACACATACAATACTTGTTTAAATTAAAACCACCACAACCTTGCGGTTTATGTTAAAACTATAATATTATTCTAGTAATATACATCTTGGAAATAATAAAAATAAATTGTTTGACAATTCCACATGACAAGTGTTGATATATATCATGAATGTCCTGTTATAACTAGTCATTTTTATTTTTATATTAATTATATTTAATTTTGAATGAACAACAAGCTTGTTAATATGTTTACATTGCTACACTAGTGCTCAGAATTCAACTGATACTTAAGACTCCTTAAAAATGAAAATTATTATGTGTTGTGATATTATCTTAGATTCAATGTTCTTAAAAAAGTAAGTTATACTTTCTTTTTACAGGAAAAGGGAAGGTAGAGTTAAAGCTGCCTACAACCTAGTTACCCGTGGCATTACCAACTTAGTTGTAATTGGTGGTGATGGGTCTTTAACTGGAGCCAATTTATTCAGAGAAGAATGGGCCGGCCTGCTTGATGAGTTGCTTGAAAACAATAAAATTACAAAAGATCAAAGGGAGAAATACAAGTTTTTGCATATTGCTGGCATGGTAAGTAATGTTGTCATTACAAAATATTATGGTTAGGGCAGTTAGCGATCAGGCATAGCAGCTACCCAGCATGATCAGTGCAGTACATTTTAACTGCTTACTACACATTACGCTACAACCTGTCTATTGCCAACAGGCAAATGTAAATTATATCTTAAATATACATTATCTACATCTTTTTAGTGGCTAGTGCTTATTGGCCAGCCATGTTGCTTGAATTACTAGTAGTGTAAAAGCAGGTTAGATAATATAATAATAATATACCTCACACATTTTACACACGGCCGTCTGATCCCAAACTAGGCAGAGCCTGTGCTATGGTGACCAGACTGCTGATAAACATACTTATATATTTTTAAATATATACACATAATAGATAAATTACACCCAGACACAGAACAAATGATCATGCTCATCACACGAAATTTGTCCTGGGTGGGAATCGAACCCACGACCTCCGGCTTAGCAGTCATTGGCACTAACCATTCGACCAACAGGCCCGTTAGATGTCTCACTGATCATTATTTTTTGTAGGTGGGCTCTATTGACAATGACTTCTGTGGCACTGACATGACCATAGGCACAGACTCTGCATTACACCGCATTATCGGAGCAATTGATGCAATTGTAAGCACTGCATATTCACATCAAAGGACATTTATTATGGAAGTTATGGGAAGACAGTGTGGGTAAGATTCCTCCTGATCCTCTTTTTAGGTATATGTTTAGTATATTTTAAATAGTATTATTATTTGTATAAGTTTTATTAAGACTATATAAGTATGTTTTTAGTTAAACAGTGGTGCCTGATAATGGTTGAGTGCCAATTCAGTAATGTTCTAATAGTTATTTATTCATTTAGATACCTTGCTGTGGTCACGGCTTTGGCTTCTGAAGCGGATTTTGTCTTTATACCAGAAGCCCCGCCATCTGTTGGCTGGAAAGATAAACTTTGTGATAAATTAGAACAGGCAAGCTCTGGTTCCATCTTGTGTTGCTTGTCCCTCCTATGAGCTGAATGTTACATGCAATCATTAACTTCATTACTCTTTAACTCAAATATCCCTTTAGTTTTCTTGCAGTTTACACGGCACTCTGTACGGATGCTACTTATAGTTTTATTTGTGAAGACCCAGCGCCTATCAATTGGGAAAAAAAAATGTGTACAAAAATAGCTGAGGCAAGAATTTAATTGTATTTTTTCAATGGGAGCAGGATCACTTTCAATCACCAGGTTTAACATTCATTACTATGAATTGGCAAATCCATTGGCTATATATATCTAAAGTTTATTTCAAATATCTTCTAAAATCAGATGAATTTACATTTCTTTTGTGATTTTAGAAGATTTATTATGATATAAAATTCGAAATTAAAACTCACAATTCACAACATGCATTTTTGTAATGTATATAACTTGGGACATTATGCATGAACCATTATGGGAACTGCTTGTTGCAGTTATCTGGCATTAGTGGCCGCTCTGGCAGGTGAAGCAGACCAAGTATTTATTCCTGAGGACCCTGTTCCCAATAATTGGGTTGAAAAGCTTTGCAAAAGATTGCAGCAGGTATGCAAGCTTAACTGAGTAGTGTCTAATAACACACAAAGCTCTTGAGTAAGATTTTAAAAATTTAAATCGTCGGTCAATGACTTGTCAAGTCAATGTATTTAATAAGAATAATATATCAGAATGGACACGAATTTTGGTGTGACGGTTTTTATAAGACAATTTGAGCAAGATAAACCATTTCATCATCATCATCAGCATATCGCAGTCCACTGCTGGACATAAGCCTCTCCCATTGCATAAACCATTACAAAACATAAATTTATGTAATAAGTCTAAATTAATAAGAATTAAAAAACATTATTTAAAATAATATAACAAAATAAGTATTTGTTAGTACAACCCATGAGTTCAACACCTTAAATCTAATTATTTTTGAGAATATTTTTTCCGTACCAATATTACCAATATTTTTAGCCATATCAGCAGACATTTTAGAACTAATTCCAAGGTCATAACAATTAGCGTCATTATATAGATGTTTTATATGTAATATACCAGTTATTGAATCAGTAGTCAATCTACTCCGCTGTTTTCATGAGATTAATATGCGAGTATATGCGCTTGACATTGGCGGATTAATGGCCAGTACTCACGATTGTATTCGGTTCATCGACTAAAGACATTTTACTGAACTGAAGTCTAATGTAAGAAAATAATTGAAAAAAGAAATCTGAATTGGTTTTTTATATAAGCAAACAATATTGCTCGAGTAATGCTCTAAAACGGTAGTTGTTGGACACTAGGGTATTCCCCAAAACATATCGTTACTTATTGATCGGCTTTCGTACAGTAACACATCTATCCGAGAGATTTACCGTAAAAGATAAACTAAAAGGTAATCGTATCATTTCGGTAGGACAGGCGCCATATCCGTAAAATGCCGAAAAATCGGTAGGTTCGAGACTACTGCCGTGACTGTTTTGTCACTTTCGACAGGCCTATAAATATTCTCTCGATAAATTGACTATCTATGACCAGTTGTGCAGAAATGATTCAATTTGTGTATTGAATCCTTTTTCTAGAGCACGGTACAAAGTTTTTTACATCACATCACACACATCACAGCCTTTAAAAGTCCACTGCAGGACACAAACCACTCCTTAGAAAGGAGGTTTTGGCCTACTATACCACGCTGGCCAGACGGGTTAGTATAGGGTTTGTTTCAAGTTTTCATTCTCTTTGTAGTGCTGTTGTCCTGTGTAGTTTTGCTCCCTTAGTCGGCTCTTACGACACCCACGGGATGAATAGGGGTGGTGACACCCTTTATTCCTAATCCGTCACCACACAAAGTTTTTTACATAATTTGTATTTTTGTGACACTACTCAACTTGCATGAAGTACTAGTTATCACTATCGCTAACATATTTTAGACGAAATTCTAGTTTTAAAAGCACTTTAAGCAAGTTTATGCGTAGAAATATTGAAAATTTCTATAAGTAGGTAGGTCTTTTTTAATTATTACGTTTCTAGTTTGCACAATAATTATCCTAGGGTTATTGCTCAATTTTTCATTTAGCATTCGAGGAAATAACTTTCGCTTAATTTCAACTGACTAATGAGGCACACTATTTGCTGTGACTGAACACATTATTGTCCTTGTTTACATTTATGTTAATATGCTCTGGGATTGTGTGTTATTTGACTAGTCCTTTCCTTTATTTTAATACACATACATTTTGCATGTTTTTAATTTACATAATCACCGAAATTTGCCTTCCTACTATGTTTCCTTTCAATTTTCTTTTCACATGCATCGACAAGCATGCGCCTAACTAATTTTAATATCCTGAGATGTACTGTATAGTATGAAATATATGTGTTATTTGGATACACACTTATAACATTCAATATATTTAGGAGAGGAAGTCGGGGCAGCGCTTGAATATAATCATAGTGGCAGAGGGCGCAATCGACCGTGAAGGCAAGCCTATCACGGCCGAGCTGGTCAGGAAAGTTGTAGTCGACAATCTACAACAGGACACTCGTATCACCGTACTGGGTCACGTTCAAAGAGGAGGTTCTCCTTCTGCTTTTGATAGAATATTGGTACGTAATGCAACTTTGTTTTTTTTTTATAAATATGGGGTCTACCAATAAGAACGTCCTGGTTTAAAAATTGAATAAAACACACAATTTTTTATGAAAAATGCATCCGATTGATTTATTTGATAGATAATTTTATGCAATTTATGTTTTAAATAATATATCGGCCAAATGACCGCCGCGGCTCTTTTTGCAGACGGTCACCCGCTCAAGCCAATTTTCGATGACGCGGTGCACCATTTCGGCCGGTATGTCGGCTATGGCTCGTCGAATGTTGGTTTTTAGGTCACGAATTGTAGCTGGATTATTGCTGTACACTTTAGATTTAACGTAACCCCAAAGAAAATAGTCTAAAGGTGTTAAATCACACGATCTTGGTGGCCAACTGATCGGTCCATTTCTCGAAATTAACGACTCACCAAACTTTAATAATAATAATAATAATTAAATGTTCACTCGAGTAATGTGAGGTGGAGCACCGTTTTGTTGAAAATAAAGGTCGTCTGCAGCAATATCATTAAATTCCGGAAAAAAATATACGGTTAACATCGAGTTATAGCGCTCGCCATTTACAGTAACAGGGTTTCCTTCGTCACTTTCAAAGAAGTACGGACCAATGATTCCACCGTACCATAAACCGCACCAAACTGTTATTTTTTGCGAATGCAATGGTGATTCATGAACCACACATGGATTTGACTCACACCAATAGCGACAATTTTGTTTATTAACAAATCCATTGAGCCAAAAATGGGCCTCATCTGAGAAGATGATTTTACGATGAAAATCGTCATCGGCTTCCATCATTTCCAGTGCATAATCGGCAAATTCACGACGGATACAATGGTAGGACTGCTTCAATTCTTGTGCCAAAACAATTTTGTATGGGTGTAGGCCCAAATCCAAACGCAACATACGCCAGGTGGTCATTGGAAAGAGCCCCAACTTTTGTGAACGGCGTTGAACTGATCGATTTGAATTCGCATCAACACTGGCCTGAACGGCTGCGATATTCTCTTCACTACGGGCATTTCTTTGTCTCACAGGCACAGCAGTATCCTGGAGAGTGAATTCACTTTCAAATTTTGTTATTATGCGATTTATAGCGCGCACAGAAGGAGCACTATGTCGACCGTTTTTTGCGCGAAGCGCTCCTAATGTAGCGGTAGGAGAACGTGAATTTGCGTAATAATTTTGAACAATTTCCAAGCGTTGGTTTAAAGTGAAACGCGACATGATAAAATGGCAAACCTTACTGAACACAAATGTCAAGAGACGTCAAAGATCCATCATCAAACATGGCCGCTATGAGCTGTCAAAACCAGGTCATCCCTTTTGGTAGACCCAGTACTTAAAAAATATAAAACTAATGAGTAAGTTTTTAGTTTAATTTCTATGTTAAATATGTAGGTACATACTAAGGTCATACCTACTTAGTGTTAATTGCCGAAAGTACATACAATCTAGATTGTTTTATTTAATTCTTAACAGTAGTCTTCCGTGGGTCGAGACCCGACCCCTTAATTTAATTTAAAACAAAAATACAGTTACCTCTTTTCTATTGACTGTTAACTTTATTAATGTCCAATATTTTTACTGTCGAGCTTTAGCTTTTACTTTGCTTAATAAAAGCTTAGGGGAAAGTTGCGATGATTGGACCACATAACTTTAAGGTGTCATATCTGATTTAATAAATGTGATAAAATAAAACTTGTTATTGATAATTTATCCTTTCTTAATAAAGATACGATGCTATATTTGTTTTAGGTCAAAGTTGATCAGTTTTAGCAATATAGTGATAAACTATTTTCAGATCTGTTTCTTTCTTTGGATCACCGTTACATTGAATGGACCTCCCAGATGCCTTATCTGTGAAGGTCTGATTTTTTCCTACAGCGGCTATGGAAAGTTTCATGTTCTCTTCCAGGCATAATAAATTTTCTGACTTCATGCTAAATAGAAATTAATTATAAAGTTAAAGTATTTTAAAGGTTCTTTGATTGGACCAGTCTATCCATAGCTCCACTATGGTGGACCAATGGTAGCAAGGTTAATGAAGAATGAAGAAAAAAATTAATGAATAATGAAGCTGATAATGAATGACGCTTAATGAAGAAAAAAAATTTAATTTTACGAACGAAATTAACAAAATTCTCAACAATCTACTAAAACACAGATAAAATTTTATCATTGATTAAACAAAAGTATTATCGATTTTTTTGTTGCATGGTTTTTATATGGGAGCACCCCAGAAACCTTTTTGCACGCTGCTCCGCAAACCGAGGCATTATGATACTGAGGTTTGAAGGACAGTCGCCAGGCTCGACATTGTTGACTAGTAACTGACTAAATACGTTCTAACATGTTTAATCTTTGAAATATTTAGGTGGTCTAAAGAAGCGCTTGTCCATTGATCGCAACCTTCCCCTAAACTCGTCAACTGTACACAGCATTCAATCCCTACTAATAATAGTTATAAATTCCAAAGTACCGATTTTAATTAAATTTGGGCTGAAGGTACTTTGATTCTTGAGATAATCGAAAACCTACTTACACTCGGGCGGAGCCGCGAGCACAAGCTAGTATGAAACAAAAACAGGAAACGGTTGACATACAGATGAGAAAATGATGTCGCTATTTCTAGGTTAAATGTCAGATATCACATGGGGTGCATTATTATTTTTAAAAATTTAACAATTTTAACAATTTTTTTTTTTAAAGACAACTCCCGCATTAGGAATATATCCTGTGTTGCGGAAGACTTTACAAACATACACGAAACAGACACAAAGAACACCCAGACTCAGAACAACAATTTGTGGTTCACACAAAGTGTCGTCCCATGTGGGGTTTGAACCCACAACACTCGGCGCAGTAGGAAGCGGCGTGGCGATCGCTTAAACCACTACGCCATCCGTGCAGTCGTTATTGATGTGGCAGTAGCATGTATACTTAATATCCTGACCATATTTACACCACTAGTCATCGTCACCTTTATAACCATCACCCGGGCGTGAATGCCATTAAAACTTTCACTGTGTACAGGTTGAACAGAATGGCGTCGATAGCTTAACGGTAAACAATCATAAGAATATTTTCAATTTTTTAGGGTTGCCGCATGGGTGCCGAGGCAGTAATGGCTTTAATGGAAGCCTCCCCTGATACGGAACCTTGTGTTGTATCCTTAGACGGTAACCAGGCTGTACGTTTACCTCTCATGGAATGTGTGCGACGCACTAAGGCCGTCGCTCAGGTAATTAAGATACATTAAGATACGATTACACTCTTGTTCCTATTTATTACGAGAAAGTCGGACTAACTGCGATCAATTCGAGTTAAGACCGTGCACTGTCATATAACAACATAATTGAACGTGAGATTACTGTTTCGGGAGTTCTATTTGGTTATTATTTATGAATATGAATAGATTTTCAGGCAATTTAAATAGCTTTAGGCGTTTATCTATGCTAAGATTCTAGATAATTTTCTTTGTAAACTAAAACAGGGCTATTTTTTGTCTTAGTCTAGTTAGCGCCATGTACCTAATAGTTATGTAATAAGTATGTTTAAAATCATTATTTCCTAATCGATTGTGGCCTATGCAACCTTAATAAACTTATTTATATAGGTAAAAGTAAGTATGTTCATAATTTTAATTTTGTATAATTAATTCTTACTAACATATTGGCCTTGATTGTCCCTCTAAAGCCAGAGTGTCTACTACTAGTGTACTAGTAGCTAGTAGTATATGGTATACCAACCACAGCTTTATGTTGCTTTAATTGGCAGAGAAAAAAAAAGTTATTAGCAAGTTTGGTGACAAGTTATTTTCTAGGCTCCAGACCTTATTTTAAGTTATTTACTTTCTTTAGACTTTTTTTGTTATATAAACTAGATTTTATGAAAAGGCTACATTTTATTAGTATCAAGCACCATTGAGCAAATACGAGTAAGGATAGAATTGATATTGGATTTATGCTTTCTAGGCTATGGCTGACAAGAACTGGGATTTGGCTGTACAATTGCGCGGGCGTAGTTTTGCCCGTAACCTAGAAACATACAAAATGTTGACACGCTTGAAGCCTCCGAAGGAAGCTTTCGATGCAAGTGGCAAACCCTCTGTAAGTATTATATCCTGACACTACATACTTGCTTCATTATTTTTGGAACTATAGGACCGCTATGTTTTAATCTAGTTGTTTTTTAAAAAGCAAATCTTGTTTAATGTGTGACTATGTAGATGAAATGGTCCGTTTTCATATACATGGCACAGAGATCTGTTTCATTAATTTAAAGGGAATCGCTCAGTACAGCATATATGCACATATTAAAATTAACAACAATTGCACAATATTAGTATAAAATTCAGCAAATTATAACGATTTCGATAATTGCAATTTGCATATAAGTACATTTTGAAATTAGAAAACCTAAATTAAAACCTACACAAATTACTATTGCACAGGCAGAGGGTTAAATTAGTTACTAAATGTGCAACTCGGCAAGTAAGTCTGTATTTAAATATATTCTGTTACAGGAGGGTTTGACTTTGGCAGTGATGCACGTGGGTGCGCCTGCGTGCGGCATGAACGCGGCCGTGCGGTCATTCGTGCGCAACTGTATCTACCGCGGGGACACCGTGCTCGGAATACATGACGGAATCGAAGGCTTTATCAGCGGGAATATCGTCAAGATGGACTGGTAAAAGTATTAACCAATCACAGTGCTCTGCAATATCTAATTAATTGTATATTTTATTGTCTTAACTTCGATTAAAAGCTAAAACGGAAAAAATAACTATTTCCATGTGGTAATACTTAAAAAAATCTATTGACTTAGGTACATGTATTAACTTTTAGTCGTTCTAAATATAAAATTAATTAAATCATAAACCATAAATATACAACATAAATATAAATATAACAAACATAAATATAACATAAATCATAAAACTGAACATGGTGATAATTTACTAGTGCAATATTTTTTATTATGTGTGCTAATAGTATTAATATTTAACAGGTCTGATGTGACTGGCTGGGTGGCTCAGGGAGGAGCATTCTTAGGCACTAAGCGTACACTGTGCGGCGACAAGAAAGGTGAAATAGCTGCTCGCATCAAGCAGTTCAATATCCAAGGTCTGCTTATCATTGGCGGGTTTGAGGCAAGTAGTCATTAAGCAAAGTTTTTTTTTAAATAGGCAACTCCCGCATTAGGAATATATCCTGTGTCGTGGGAGATTTTGCAAACAAACATAAAACGGACACAAGGAACACCCAGACTCAGAACAACAATTTGTGGATCACACAAAGTGTTGTCTCATGTGGGGATGGGACCCACAACACTCACTCCAACTCCACTCGGACGCACGCCATCCGTGCAGTCAATTATTGACATTGTACAGTGAAATTAGTCTCGAGAAATTTTTGCATATGTAGTGGTGTGTATATTACTCAGATCTTAGAGCGCGTTTCCACTATATCGTTTTGGCCTATACAAAAATGTTTCGATATCCTAACATTACTATTTAATTTTATACTTATCCCTAGCAACACTCTGATTTTTGTTTTCAATAAAAACAAGTTTTTATTTTAAAGAAAAAGGTTTTGACTTTATAAAAAAAATGTGTGTGTGCGATACACACACGATAGAAGTGAAACTTCAAAGAGGAGAGACCGATATTTAATTTTTTTTTTCCTTTCATCTAGGTTTTTAAAACTTCGGGGGTCTACGAGGGGGTCAAAATTTTTGTTATTTTTGGCCTAGGACGCACCGTTTCCGAGATATTTCAGTTTAAAGCAAAAAATCGTCACTTGATAGTGGAAAGTGGAAACACGCACAAAACCAGAATAAACCAGTTTACGCTGTCCGTACCATACACTACTACAAACGCAAAAATTTCTCCAAGCTAATTTACCTGTACTTCATAAAGCTCATGACTCCATAACCACTTATAAAATGGTTGATCAGATATTAATCAAAGGTCCGAATTAGGCAGAGCTTTGTCTCATGAACTGTTGATTTATGCTGCTAATACATTGATTTTTTTTTAATTTTCCTTTACAAAAAAAAACCGTTCTCGCAACATTTTTCATTAATACTCGGCCAGAAGAAGAAGTCAGCCAGAAACTTGGGATGGGAAAATAGGAGTACATTGAAATGAAAAGTGTATAAAAAGAAAAGGCAATATTAAGTAAGGGAGCATTGTTCATACGGATTGTTTAGGCAATGTAAGTAATAGCTCGAATAGCTGAAAGTCGTATACCTGCAACTCGTATTGGCTGGAGGGTCGAAGTCCCAGCCGTCGGCGTCTCGTACCGACTATGAATATGACTTATTATTTTGTTTTCACATATACTTTTTGTTTATCACATTTTATTTACTTTTGATATTTTCAGGCTTACCAAGCTGGTCTTGAAATCTACGAAGGCCGCGCTCAGTTCCCAGAATTTTGTATCCCCTTGGTAACGATTCCTTCAACCATCAGTAACAATGTGCCCGGCACAGACTTCTCGCTGGGATCCGACACAGCGCTCAATGAAATCACCGAAATATGCGACCGTATACGTCAGTCTGCACAGGTTCGTTTATTGTTAATGTTATGTTCCAAGTCGCTGAATATTTTACGTTGTGTTGCCCAAACTAAGATTTTCTATTTATTATTTTATTAAAAGTAATTAGCAACATAATGTGTATATTTCTAAATTTCATTATAGGGAACTAAACGTCGCGTGTTTGTTATTGAGACAATGGGCGGTTACTGCGGCTATTTGGCTACTTTGGCAGGTAAAAAAAAATGTTTTATATCTTTAATAGGTTAATTATGTTCATTTTTTGTTTTTTTTTTATTTAATTTTTTTTATCCAATTTCTCATCCAAATTTATTATAATTTTTTTTTTACTAAAGAAATTCATTGCTTTAAAAACAATTATTACTGCAAAAAAGAGATGATGAAATAAAACTGTATTTAATCAGGCTTAGCCGGTGGTGCTGATGCAGCTTACATTTATGAAGAAAAGTTCTCGATCAAGGACTTACAGCAGGATGTGTACCACATGGCATCCAAAATGACTGGGGGCATCCAACGCGGTCTCATTTTACGCAATGAAAAAGCCAACGACAACTACAATACTGACTTTATTTATCGCCTTTATGCTGAAGAAGGGAAGGGCCTTTTTACCGCTAGGATGAATGTGCTGGGTAAGGATAGTTCATTATTTTTGTTTGATTATACTGGATTGTAGGAAGTTTCCTAAAGATAACACAAATTTAATTTTCTTCTTTCACTCTAGGATTGGTGCACATAAAAACATTGTTCTCTTAATCTCGTACAGGTCACATGCAACAAGGTGGTTCTCCAACTCCATTTGATCGCAACATGGGCACCAAGATGGCTGCTAAATGCCTGAAATGGCTGGTCGAAACCATTAAAAAAGGACCTGCTAACACTCCTGACTCTGCCTGCCTACTGGGTGTTGTTAAGAGACAGTATAAATTCACTCCTCTTGAAGATTTGAAGGCACAGACTAACTTAGCGTAAGTTGGAATACTTATACATTCAACGACCAACTGGTTCAGTAAGGCTCGCTTATTTGTTAGAAAAAGTTCATAGTTTCCTCCTTGTAACGACTCACTTGGTTAACGGTTTTTTTCATTATTATTGCAGTCAAAGAATTCCCAAGCAACAGTGGTGGATGAAGCTTCGTCCTCTACTCCGCATCTTAGCGAAGCACGAGTCTACATACGAAGAAGAGGGCATGTACATGACAGTTGAACAAGGAGAGCTTGATCCTGAACATGTTATATAAATACTCATTTATATAGATACAAACATTTTAGGTGTCTAAATTGTTAGTTAGTAATTGCTTGAGAAATAAATCGAGAGGCTGAGTTGAACCAGTGACTAGAACTGTAATTGCAAGGAGTCTATGTAATATCGGTTTGTAGATAAGGGTGTGAGTTTTTTATCAAGTAAGTTTGTCTATGATGTATATTAAGAGTTAGCGGTCAGCCGGAATTATAACTACAGCAGAAGACTGCATACGTGTATGTAAGCTCTTAACCTGCTAACGAGGAGGGGCTGAACTGAATTTAAGTAAACAATTTTTATAAGACTTCTTTTCTTCGAGTTCAGCTATTACTATTTAATTGTCCGTAGTGTTGGTTGCTTTAGTCAGTCACTAAAAAATCGTCGATTTTAATCAAGTATAAAAAATAGCTTCTTTTGCTATCCAAACCGTATATTGGTGCCATAGTATCATATCATATTGTATTTTATTTAATTGTGGGTAAAAATTTCTATAGAAGTGTTGCTCTCTTAAAAAATAGAGATATTCACGTATGACATTATTTTAGTGGCATGTTTACATGTTATAATATTTAATAATAAAGAAATATAATGTATTAGTTATTATCTAGGCACTCTAAAGTATTATTAAGATTTATAAAAGACAATTGATTTTTGAAATTATGTAGTTGTCTGAGTTAAGGCATAAAAATTTGATGTAACTAAGGTTTTTGCTGTAGCTGAGACTGCCTTACTGCGGGAACACCAACCAGCACTACTAGCGCAGTGCTGAAGTTCTGCTCCTGCGTCGGTTCATCAGGCATTACATGATATGTGCCATGTACTTGTTTTGCTAACCTATTGCTTACAATTAAATTTAGGCACAGACATGTAAAACAATATATATACGAGATTATAAATGTATCAAATTTTGCTTTTAAAAGACAAACATGTTAATAATAATTTAAACCTAGCTGTTTTTATGTATTATTATACTTGTGTCCTAGTAGTTTAAACTTTTTTCTTGATTTGTATTAAGTACATCCCTTTACCACTGAGTAGATGTGGACAGACAGCTTCTTATAGATATTCAGTTATTTATTTAATAATAATAACACACATATCTTTTATCCCCAAAGAGGTTGTCAGACACAAATATTTCAGAAAGTATATATTTCTAAATATAATAGATAAATTACAACCAAGTACAGAACTTATGATCATGCACATTGCACAATATTTTGTCCTGGGTAGGAATTAAATCCAAGTGGAAACGATGGAATTTATTGTTTGCTCTACAAAGATTTTTATTTTAAGAATAACTTTTATTATATCTCTTCAATCGTTTACAATATATTTTTACATATCAGAATGTATCAGAAGTCATTATTTCAAAAAAGCCTTAAGTATAATCACGATTAATTTGAAAATAAGTACATCTAATGCACAGTATTTTTTTAATCATTTTCTAATTCATATCTTAAATTGAACCTATAAACATACAAATTTTGTATTAAACTATTAAAAATGTTTATCTTAATTTAGAGGCTTTAATTTCCTATTTACATTTTGTTTCCCATTTGATTATACTGCCACGATTTTAAACAAGCATTTGAAAACTATGTGGGTTGTTCAAAAAATTGTTAGTGAAAAGAAAAATAGTTGGAATGTGAAAAAAAATTATAGCTTTTAAAAATATTCCCCTAACTCCAATGCGCTTATACCTTCAGGTGAAATAGCTTCCGAAACATTTAAAAAATATATCTTTCAGCACGTCGAAAAGTAACCTTTCTGTGAGAAAAGAATTTATCCATCACGGAAGCTTTCTAAAGGCTAATTTTCACTGATTGCCAGAGCCTATGTTGAGGTGCGAGAGATTTTTGTTCACATATGCCATAGGGAGTGCATGCTGAAACCATTTTCATTAGTCGATGGGTCCACAATACGGAATTACGGGAGAGTAAGTTTAAACACAACAGGCCCCGTATGCGGTAACCGTTTTCATTGGTCGATGGGGCCAGTTGGGATCTTTCATTATTTACATATGTACGCACTTCCTCTCACATCTCGGTTTTAATACAAATTCCTCGTAACATTCCTTAGACATGAGTAGTCTCGATAGGTTTCTACCAGTTTAAGCGTTTGAAAATCGATGAAACTATCAGCTATTTTGCTGCCGAACAGAATCAATTCGTAAGTAAGAACATATTTTGTAGACTGAATCCCCGCATCTCACTTGCTTTCCACCAACAGATGAATACCTGCGTGTTGCATTTCAGGCTCATTTTCAGTGATCGTTAACTCAGTTGTTATATCGAAATCGGGGAGTCCCCGAATACGGAATAACGACTAAGATCGATATAGGCTTATTTTCATTGGTTGTTGGATCCCGCATAACATATGTTGTTGTTGTTGTTGTTCACGCATGCCATAGGGACCGCATGCGGAAACCATTTTCATTAGTAAATGGTGTCCGGGGTTCGGGAGATTTAAGTTTAAGCACACCATAGGGCCTGTATACATGTTGTTTGATTTTCTTCAATTCGTAAAACTGAATCCCCGCACTCCGCTTGCTTTGCATTATACCAATCGATTCATTTCCTTGGTTGTTACGCCGCGTTCTGGATAATACCGGAACCAGATGATTTTTGATTTGATCCTGTTGATATTTAAAATCCTTCCCCTTTTTTTAATGCTAGATGTAGATGATGTTTTGCTAACTTGTTAGTGGAGATACGACAAGTAAGTATGTAAGTCTATATCTAAAAAATATCTATGGTTTCTCTCTTTTTAAATAGTCGTACTACTTTAAACTCCCTAGAATTAATGATGGATTGACAAATACTGTAAACAATGGTTTTAAAAAAATAATTTCATTAACACCAAACAGCATGCATCAAAAATGTATTTATTTTAAAAAACAACCTGTTCTTGACATATTCCATTGCCAACACAACAGATTTCGTATTTCCGTAATCAACAAACAGCGTTGGCGTTGACGTTTCACCGCGTAGCAAGTGAAAGTGTCACGTCGATCGGATTCCTGTCAGAAATATTATTATTCGGTTAAATTGCACTTCGTTTGCTCACAGGTACGGTATTCTTAATATTTTGAGTAAATGTATGTGAATATGTTTAATTCGTTTTAAGTAAATAAAGTGTTACTTTCAGTTTTGTGTAAATAGAAAGGTCATTTTCAGGAATAGGTTATCACCGGGAAAATGGGTGTTAAGCCTGCGATTGGAAGAAAATCTAACAAGAACCCACCTATTTTCAGTCATGAGTTTGTTATTCAGAATCATGCGGACATAGTGTCGTGTGTTGTTATGGTGTTTTTGGTCGGGTTGATGGTACAAGTAAGTAGAATTTAGTTGCCACGTAAGCCAGGCACCGCTGCGAATGTAATTTGTTTTATGTGTGAATTACATATTTTTAATGATTGTTTTGCATTGTGTCTATAATATATATTACGTCTGTTTTGTAGTCGACAAGTCCAATTGCAAGCCTATTTATCAGTTTACACCACAATGTCAGTGGACTCGAACCTAGCAGAGATGCACCAAAAGGCGACCCTTTCTTTTATGAAGCAGGGTGGAAAGACGCTTGTGCAGTTTTCTTTTACTCCTTGGTTTGCATTGTAATGCATGCAATTCTACAGGAGTACCTTTTAGATGTAAGTAAGCAACCAACCTTAATTCCTAACATATGTTTTTTTTAACAAAGTAACTGCAGTATTTATTATGCATTTATTTATTAGAATACATTATAAACACTGTAATTGTTTTTAGAAAATCTCAAAGAAGTTTCATCTGTCCAAATCAAGACTGAGTGCTCTTAATGAGTCTGGCCAGTTGGTTGTGTTCCACTTAGTAACCCTTCTTTGGGGTGGTGATGCTATTCTTCGAGAAGGTTTTATCTTCAACATTCCTCAGCTTTGGGATGGTAAGCTATAGCTAATGTTTTTTTTTGTTTTAAAAATTGGCTGCATTTATGAATGACTTGGGCTTGGCTTTTATATCGAAACTATAGAATATTTCTTATCATATTTATTTTAGTTCTAAATCGTTGAAACCCAACACCATCATTTCACTGTTGGTACAACATTATCTTATTGGCTTGTAGATGTACCTCCATAATTCAAAAGATATTCAACATCATTTATAGTAGTGGATCCAAAAATTGATTTTACATTTTATGTAAAATTATATTTTAGAAAGATAAAATACCTTAATTGGCATACCCAAAAAGGTTAGAAACTCAATGGTGTATAATGTCATAAGATATTTTTTCGTACAGCTCTATTTTAGGCTTGTGTGTGTATTTGTGATGTGGCGGATTAAGAATACAAGGTGTCACCACCCCTATTCTTCCCGTGGGTGTCATAAGAGCAGACTAAGGGAGCAAACTATGCAGGACATCAGCACTGCAAAGACAAGGAAAACTTGAAACAAAGCCTATACCAATCGATCGTTCGAACCGATAATGATGATGATGATGTGTGTATGCTGTGTTGTGGAGTTTTGATTGCCCATGTTTAGATTATTGAGAAATATTTAAAAAACACAAATGGGATGATATCTAAATATAGTACCAAAGAAATTGATAGGCATGTAAAATATGTAGTGTAGTTTTGAGTTTCTCTGATCATATCAGTAGTTTGGAATGTTTGACTATTACTACTACTATAGTAATCGTCATAAAATAGAAAGCATACATACATATATTCATAGGTAAATCCCAGACAGCCAAATATGAAAGGTAATTAATAAAAATTTGATTGCATGGATGGCGTAGTGGTTTAAGCGGTCGCCACGCAGTTCCCTACTACGCCGAGTGTTTTGGGTTCAAACCCCACATGGGACGACACTTTATGTGATCCACAAATTGTTGTTCTGAGTCTGGGTGCTCTTTATGTCCGTTTCATGTATGTTTGTAAAGTCCCCTGCGTCACAGTATATATTTCTAAAGCGGAAGCTGTCTTTTTAAAAAGAAAAGAAGAAAGAAAGAAAAAAGCAGTCTTTAAATATCTTGTCAGAAACATTTTCACAATTGTTTGAAAAACTTTGTAGCATTCCAAATGAAGAGGCAAGAAGGGGTTTGTTAAGTTATTATAATTTATTACATAAATTGATAAGCACACCATGCATTTCAATTTATGTTGTAGTACATTATAAATAAAATTAATTCGATTATTTGTTATGTAAAAATATGAGCTCTATCATATTTTTCTTATCACTTGTCTTCTATATGTATATTATATTATTGATAAAAAAATGATTATGTAATGAGTTTAGCTTATCATTTAAATTTGTTGATTGATTTTATCATTGTAAATACTATATGTATTCTCGTATTATAGAGCATAACCCAAAAAGAATAATTTAGATTTTGTATTTATTGGCACCTTAAATTGTTGAAAAACTATTATTTGAATTTGCAAAATAGTTTTACTTTACTAAATGTATTTGTTACATTTCAATGTCCTGATTAAGTAATTTGTTACTACCAGTATTCTCTAATTTGCATACTTATCTACTTACTTAAATCATTAATGTTAAATAATTATTGATTAACATCATAACTATATTTTGATTGATTTACAATTAACTTACTAAAGTCTCTGCCTATACTTTCTAAGACCACACAGTGGTTTACTAATATTGGCGACCTGCGCTAAAAAATAAAGCCATCGAAAAAATATGACGATAGTCACATACGTTACCCGTTACATTACGTGGCCGACCAACTTACCGATCGTATTTGATTAAGTGGTTGGCGCTACTACCAAATTCAAACAAGTGTGTCGAGTTCACTCTTCTATTGCGATGTCATTTGCTATACGCGCACTTCATACATTTCTAAATTTATTTGCAAGAATAATAATAGCTGTAGCATGTTTATTCCTCTCTCTGAAATTGCCACGTGTTGAAAAAAAATTACTCTATTTATAATAAAAAATTGAGAAATTGATTAATTATTAATCGTGACTTCTATGATTAACCATTAATTCATTGTTATTTGTCACTATCTCTACCATAGGGACTATGATCGCAGTTGAGCATTATAATTTGCAAATAGAAAAGGAAATAAGCTAAAATATAACTGTCTATTCGTCGTTTATGTAGCTGTATATAAATGCAAACATTTTTGTCTTAATCTAAAGAAATTGTTAGGCGCGATTATTATAGATTTCTTATAACTAATTTAATTGCAAAGTCGATTTATGTTTAGTTGCGATTTACATCAACAGCAAATAGTTTTATATGAATTGATTATTTTTTTAATTGATTGAAGACCGACTCTGTGCCATATTGATGGTGTCACGAAAACTATCGATTGCTGTAGAAACCGCTTTCACGCTTTAGATACGTCAAGATAATTTGCTGCGTAAAAGTTGTATTATTTAACTGCAGGAATGGCAGGTATCTTACCGCGCTGAGTGTGTGGGTTCGATCAACACATTGTGTGATCCACAAATTGTTGTTCTGAGTCTGGCAGTTCTTTGTGTCCATTTCATGTATGTCTGTATATCCCCCGCGACACAGGATTTACTCCTAGAGTGGGAGTTGTCTCCCACTACAAAAAAATAGTAGTAATGGGTGATTGATACATATAATGGAATTCTAATATGTGTATTGTATAGTGTAGTGTATTTGCATAACAAAAAAATATATTTCTAGTACACTTTACAGTTGGTGCATTCAAAGAGTTAGTTTTGCCCAATAATCCGAAACAATGTTAGATCTTGTCAAATTAACAAAAAAAAAACAATTATAATTTTATTTTTTAAGGTTATCCTAACCATCCAATGAGCTTCCTGCTAAAGCTCTGGTGGATTGTGCAGGCTTCTTACTGGATCCACACTATTCCTGAGCTCTATTTCCAACGCATTAAAAGGGACGAGTGGGCTGGACGCATCAGACACGCGGCTGCAGCCTTTGTTTTTGTCGCATCGGCATATGGCTTCAAGTAAGTTTTATGCACAACTGTTTTGTATTTAGACGTATTTGAACAGTGGTCATAATATAACATGCCCTAGATTCGAAAACAAAGTCTTAACTTACATATCTTTGTTTTTCGTTTTTTCTCATGTAGCTACAGCAAATATTTGCACCGTCGCACCGTGACAGTTCTTGAATGTTTGAAAGCAAACAACCATCCCTTAGAAATTATTTTTTATCGTATGAAGAGCCGTGGGAGCCCCTCACACCCCCAGACTCGCATCTGGCGCAACTTGAGGTGGAACTTGGGAAGATTAGGTTTCATATCCTAGGGCTATGTGAAGTCCGAAGAGAGGGGGAGGACACCATAACCCTCGAGTCAGGCCACCTAATGTACTTCCGCGAGGGAGACCAACAATCCCAAGGTGGGGTTGGGTTTCTGGTAAATAAGTCCCTATCTGACAACGTTGTGGAAATTTCCAGTGTGTCGAACAGGGTAGCGTACCTCATTATCAAGCTCACCGAGAGGTATAGCCTCAAGGTTGTGCAAGTGTACGCACCGACCTCGGCACATTCGGACGACGAGGTGGAGGATATGTACGATGACATATCGAGGGCTCTCCACTTCACAACTAAGACCCACTACAACGTTGTTATGGGTGACTTCAACGCTAAAGTGGGAGTACAGAATTGCGGCGAATCGGTAGTAGGATCCCATGGATTTGGAAGCAGGAATCATAGGAGGCAATTGCTGGTCAAATTCCTCGAACGGGAGGGGCTGTTTTTGATGAATTCTTTCTTCAAGAAACAGCCCCAAAGGAAGTGGACGTGGCAAAGCCCCGACGCTATGACTAGAAATGAGATCGATTTCATCATGACGGATAGAAAGCACATATTCAGAGACGTCTCAGTGATCAATAGGTTTAATACCGGTAGTGATCCGGTGATCACTACCGGTATTAAACCTTAAAGTTGATTTTCAGAGAGCCCCGGACAAGTCGGTCTTGTCCGGGGCTCTCTGAAAATCAACTTTAAGGCGGAACGTGTCTGTTTGATGAAATCCAGGCTCCGACCAACTCGGCTCCAAGCCATGACAGGATCTGAAACGTTCTAGTCAAAACTGGAAAACCGATTCGCTGCCGTGGAAACCACAGTCGACGTAAACCAGAACCTCAGAAATGTGGTTCGGATCCTCAGGGAAGAAGGTATGAGATTTTGTGAAATGCAGCGTAAGGGCAGGAAGTCGAAGCTTTCAGAAAGGACCCTAGGGCTGATGAAGAAACGACGTGAAAACCCACCTGTCACTTTGTCGGCAAAGCGGACTCTAAACCGAGAGATCAGTAAACTCGTACGACACGACCTCCGGTGCTCCAATACTCTTTCAATTGAAAGAGCGATCGAGCAAAATCGGGGGTCAAAAGTGTTCGTACAATCTCTTGGAAGAAGCCACCTGACAAAGTTGACTACAGAAAGTGGAGAAGTCGTTGCTTCGAAGCCGGCAGTCCTTTTGGAAGTGGAAAGCTTCTATGGCCGGTTATACGCTTCGCATGCATCTCGACCTGAGCCCGAAAATGAGGACTCTAGAGCCACATTAACACGTCACTACACCGAAGACCTGCCAGAAGTTAGCATTGACGAAATCGAGATTGCTCTTGGACAGCTGAAAAATGGAAAAGCCCATGGAGAGGATGGCGTTACAACAGAGCTGCTGAAGGCCGGGGGTAAACCCGTACTAAGGGAGCTCCAAAAGCTCTTCAACGCTGTCCTGTTTGAAGGGAGAACTCCAGAAGCGTGGAGTAGGAGTGTGGTCGTCTTGTTCTTCAAAAAGGGTGACAAGACTAGGTTGAAGAACTATCGACCCATATCCCTTCTAAGCCACGTCTACAAGCTGTTTTCGAGAGTCATCACGAACCGTCTTGCACAAAGACTCGACGAATTCCAACCACCGGAGCAAGCTGGGTTTCGGAGCGGATATGGTACCATAGACCACATCCATACAGTGCGGCAGATTATACAGAAGACCGAAGAATATAATCAGCCCCTGTGTCTAGCATTCGTGGACTATGAGAAAGCCTTTGACTCGATCGAGATCTGGTCTGTTCTGGAGTCCCTGCAGCGTTGCCAAGTAGATTGGCGATACATCCAAGTGATGAGATGTCTCTACGAAGCCGCCACCATGTCCGTCCAAGTACAGAATCAGCAAACAAGGCCCGTACCATTGGATCGAGGAGTGAGACAAGGGGACGTTATTTCCCCGAAATTGTTCACAAATGCAATGGAGGACATGTTCAAGACGCTGCACTGGAAAGGGCGTGGCATCAATATCAATGGCGAATACATCTCTCACTTGCGATTTGCAGATGACATCGTCATCATGGCAGAGACGTTGCAGGACCTACAGCAAATGCTGAATGACTTAGCTGACACTTCTGTACGCATCGGCCTACGGATGAACTTGGATAAAACCAAGGTCATGTTCAACGAACATGTACTACCGGAACCGATTGCGGTACGTACACGGTGCCGTTCTCGAAGTTGTTTAAAATTATGTGTACCTCGGGCAGACATTGCAGTTAGGTAGAAACAACTTCGAGGACGAGGTGAACAGAAGAATTCGGTTGGGTTGGGCAGCGTTTGGGAAGCTACGTCGAGTCTTCTCATCGTCGATCCCACAGTGCCTTAAGACGAAAGTCTTTAATGAGTGCGTCCTACCCGTCATGACATACGAAGCTGAAACGTGGACACTTACGGTACGGCTAGTCCACAAGTTCAAAGTCGCTCAACGTGCTATGGAAAGGGCTATGCTCGGCGTTTCTCTAAGGGATCGCATCAGAAATGAGGTGATCCGGCAGAGAACTAAGGTCACCGACATAGCGTACCGGATCAGCAAGCTGAAGTGGCAGTGGGCTGGCCATATTAGCCGCAGAACCGATAACCGTTGGGGAAAACGAGTTCTTGAGTGGAGACCGCGTCTCGGCAAACGTAGTGTACGCCCACAGGCCAGGTGGAGTGACGATTTGCGCAAGATGGCTGGCAGGAGCTGGATGCGAGAAGCCCAAAATCGATCTAAGTGGCGTGGCAATGGGAGAGGCCTATGTCCAGCAGTGGACTGCGATAGGCTGATGATGAAGAGCCGTGGCTATTGACTACTTGACCGATCTGACATTTGACTTCACCAACGGTTTGGCTCCCTAATGCGCTGAGTGTTGTAAGTTCGATCCCATGGGACAACAATTTGTGGAGTTGTGTTCCTAGTGCGGGAGTTGTTTTAAAAAAAATCAAAATTTTTAGGTCGAATTATTCATGTACTACACTAGTGCATAAGTTGGTATGTATTTCTATAAAACTCCTGGTATATATTTGTTTCTTAGGTTCCAGCGAGTGGGTGTATGTTTAGTTGTGCTACATTCCTTGGCTGAGTTTGTGGCACACAGCTATCGTCTGAACACCATTCTCAGGGGAGAGCGTGAAGACTTTTTGGATAAATGTAAGTGCTATAAAATTATACATGAACATATTTTCCCTCTACATATCCATCAATTTTCACTACCAGATGATTGTTAAATAATGAGTCTTAAATATAATGAATACCGTCGTGCAGACTATGAGTTGGTTAGAATTAGCCGAGAGCTGTAATAAATTGTTAATGTGTATGACATATTCTATTTTGTTATTAAAACCATAACATGATTTTAGTATGTCATTACTTTTAGTTTAAATAAACAATGTTCTAATGTACCATTATTTAATTTAGAAAATTGTAGATTTGTGACTTCTAACTCTAACTTCTGTGAATTGTATTAATTACAATTTACAATTTGTAACATTCACTAAACAGGGCTCAGATCTGTAACTATTTCAGTTTCTATGTCATATAGTAACTAGTTAATATTTTACTCAATTTACTCCGGTAGTAAAATTGATGTGCATTTAAAAAAAAGACATGGTTTAGGTGACATTATGTTAGGTCACATTTGAAATGACAATCCAATAAAAATCAATTATTGCAGGAGTCCTATAATGTATGTTTGTTTATTATTTAGACTGAAATTGTTTGTTATAGTCTTGGGAGTAATCAACGGCTCAGTGTTTGTTGTGGTGCGCTTGTGTTCATTGGTGCTGGGCGTGCTCACCTTTTACTTTGGACTTGCGGGCGCTGCACCGCTCGTTCTACGTGTTGCTGCACTCTCCGTGCTAGTGTCCTTCCAGGTACTGTGATGTGTGTGAAAATAGTTCTTAAGTCACTGCATATGGAACATTTAACGATGATTTCGGACTTAAAATTTTTTTTTTAGTATCCATTCTTTAAAGAAACCCCTACATTGTCTATGTGACAGTTGTTTTTAATTTGAAAACTTTTTAATGTCAAAAAAGTTTACTTCATTTTGACAATACACATTTAAAAAAATTAATATAAATAACATCAACAGAATCATTTTACAAATACCTTTAAACTGAACTAAATTTACAGCACTTAAGGAACTACTATCACTATATAACCCAGTATATGTCTTATAACAGGTCTACTTGATGTTCAATTTCATTACTGAAGCCATCAAGCAAAGGCAAGAAAGCCGCCAGCAAGCACAAGCCAAGCCTAAAAAGGAGAAGAAAGAGAAAATACGGAAGGAGAAAGGTAAGTCAACTATATGGCTAACGGTATTCTTATGTAATCTATTAGTAAAATATTACAATTCTATCCAAAAAAAAAAATACTGCGTAGTGTCTACTATGATAAAGTGTCATTGTTACGGTCATACGGTATAGTCCATTAGCGTTAAGAAAATAATGACATCGATCTTTTTTTTTTACGTGTGGAAACCCTCTCGGGCCATCACCCCACCGGGGTTTGCGGCAGGGTGGTGTGTCGGAATCGGACCGACTAAAACCACACGGTGTGCCACTCTGCGCCTGTAATAGGAGGGATCCGGGAACTGCTGTTATTAAGACATCCGGACCCCTCCTAGCGCCTGCCCGCAACGGTGCGGGCACCAAATGACATCGATCTAGGTCAGCCCCCTGACCAATCAGTTTCAAGAAATTATCGTTTTGTACGAAAGCTTAGAACCTGATTTGTTAGAGTGCTGGGTTTGATTGATGCGTCACTATTTTCTCAACGTGAATGAACTATAGCTTTGTTCGCGTTGAGGTAGATTTTGTTAAGCTGGGCGACTGTATAACAGGTATTTTATCTTAGGGAATAATATAAATTTACTGGGTAAAAGGAGTGTATGTATGTCCTATTCTGTAGCCTGACAATGTGTATGAAATTTTTTATTAATACAATTTTTTCTTCTTTAAATACAAAAATATGCTAAATCAGTTATGTTATACATATATCAACACACTGTTTACCATAGAGATATAACCTAGAGAGAACAAGAGCCCCAATCTTGCAATATAGCCAACAAGAGATGGATAAGATAAACATTAATAGATCCTCTATCTCTTCCTAGTCGAGCTCTGTGGTTGGCTGGGGAATATAAGGGGTTAATAAGTGGCCATCGCAGCTTAGCCAAGCAGAGATAGATGGAAATATAGGGCATCCATCTCTCGTTGCCTGTATCGCTTTCACTTACAGGCAGCTATACCCCGTGTTCTCTCTACCGCTGTTTACCGATTACAATGTATAGGAAATATATGAGAATAACAACATACTAAATCACGTTAAAATATGACCACATTCAAATGAACTCTGACCATTTATCAATCTTAATGCCTACACAATACATAGTTACAGTCCTTTATGAGCAAGTATTGTTATGTTTCGTATATTATTTGAAAATTGAAAGTTGGAAAAGTTATATGGTTTTTTGTGCAATAAGTACTAGTTGTAAGAGTTTAATAGATTGAAATATAACTATTTGAATAATTTGCCAAAACGGAGATACATCAGCATTATTGTCACTTCTTGGCGGTCGTCATCAAACGAGCCCTGTGTAAAGCTTTACTAAGAACATAATACCTACTTCTTTTTAAGCGTTTAATTGAAAGTTACAATGATAAAGCGGAGCCGCGGACTCCAAATACTTAAGTTAGTTACTCTTTTCTTATTAATCAAAACTGCATTCAAATCAAATGAATAATATGAGTACATAATATATTTAGGTCCTTACATATGAAGTTGGCGTTTTGTACGGGTGGAATATAAAGTCGTTTTTTTTGTAAAATATATTTAATTAATCAAAGTATGCACCGTATTTATCTATGCACTTTTGCCATCTCATAGGTTCATTGATCCCTTTACTAAAAAAACTATGGGGGCGAGAATCTAAACTTTTTATAAGGCGGTTTGTACTGCCGCATCGGAGTTGAATTTTTTTTCTTGTAAGAAGTTGTCCAAATTCCGAAAAAAAATAGTAATCTGTTGGAGTAAGGTCCGGAGAGTACGGTGGATGTCGCAGACATTCCAATAGTAGCTCATCTAACTTAGTGTTGTTGTGGTCTTGCGTTGTCGTGAAGCTAACTTTTTCTGAGTCAATTTTCGTTTAGGACAGGATTTGGGTGGATCGCCAGGGTTCAGCCATTGTGACGAGTGTTAATATTATTTAACAGGAATTAACGCGATCTCTTATTTAGGGTATTAATTCCCGTTAAATAATATTAATTATCATGGAACGCGAAAGTTTAAAAGTTAGTATTGTGACGAGTGCTTCCGATTATCGTACAGTATCCACTTTTCATCATAAGTAATGATTCGATTTAAAATCCCTTCATTATTGTGTCGGTTGAGCAAAGTAACACAGCAGTCGACGCGTGTGTGCAAGTTCGATTCAAGTAAAAAAACTTGAACGATGGGTACTTCATGAATTGAGCATGAAGTACTCATCGTTCAAATTTACAGAACGAAAACGTTGAAACCAAAAACGTACCGTGCTTTCTTTTGCGACACCAGCGCAGTAAACATCATTAATCCTTTGAGCTGTTTCTGTAGCACTGGTGCCACGGTAGAACTCGTACTCGTAAATATACCGATATTTCATGTTTTCCATTGTGCGGTAATAAGCGACGCCAAAGAAAAAAAAAAGGAAAAAACAAGTGAATGACTGTTATCAAAACTCAAATGTACCAGCTAAATGAATATATAAATTTGAATTTGGAATTCCTAACCAAAGAGGAGATATTTCAGATCAAAGTGGTCAGTACGACAAAACGCTAATTTCATATTATGTAAGGACCTAATATTACTGACCTTACCAATAAAACGAAGTAGGCATTATATCCTCTTTGATAGTAATGACATAACATGTAGTTGCGCAGTAGTAACTCTGTAATTATTATGTTAAAAGTTAATTACCTTACTGTAATATACAATCCACTAACATATTGATTGCCAAGGTTCCTTAATTAATGTTGGCATGAAAATAGTATTTTAAGTGTTTAATTTTTTTTCGGTTGCTTGTTGGATTTGCCCAGCCCTCACTTGTCCGGCACGGTGTATGGGAACACCGTGCCTGACAAGTGAGGACTGGGCCAGCGCAATTTAAATAAATGAAAAATTAATTATAAAAATTAAAGGATACCAATGCGACAAATTAATAAGATGATAAGAAAATTAATAAATGTCTTAGACCCCTAGAAACTTTTTTTTAGGACTAGTAAATAAATTCGTATTCTAAAATTATGTTCTAGTACACTAAGTTTCATATCTAAAATAGATTTAAATGAAGATATAAACACACCAGGGACTAATGTTAAACATCTTGGAGAGTTAGCACTCAACTGTACGTCACTAACAAGTACCTGTCTGTTTGTTAACAGTTAAGAAACCCCCCGTAGAAGAGTCAGATCTGCCTGAAGTGGACCAGAACACCAACAAGACCCTGCGACAGCGTGCCGCCGTCGTGAAAGCGAAGTGAACGCTCAATCTACAAGTTGTATACAATACTTTGACATTAATCTGTAAGTTAGGTTCTCCGTCTCGTCATCCCTTTGTAACTACGTCTTTCCATTACTACATTTAGTTACCTTACCTTTCCTTCTCTTCCTAAACAAATAATATATAGCACAAAACGAACTCATTGTATTTACATACTCGTATTTCTCTGTTAGATGATCGATGTTAATGATAAGTATCAAAGCGTATGTGACAAGATTTACTTTATAATCGTAGTTAACGATATCGTATTTTCTTTTATCAAATATTAATTTAGACTGTGGAACATATTATCGTCATTAAAAGTATAGTGGATACAGGGTTGTAAAAATATCTCCTAATGTGTAAAAAATGAAGTCTAGGTTAAACTGTTGTTTATATGAATATATTGATAAGAATATTGAAGTACTGTGTGTTCATACACATTAAATGATGAAAATTCCATTTTTATTTTGCATTTCAATATTTAAAGAAATTATTTTTCGTTATAAAAGATTCCAATACACTTTTAAATTATATTTTTATATTTACTGTATACTTTACAATAATTTAACGGGTTTTATTGTTTTAATAGGGAGCCTATTATCGTTCCATGTGTTGTGCTGCAACTTCTAATTAGGTGCTCTTCTTAGTTTAACTTTATTTCAAGACGTTTGCGTTCCATTTTCGAACATTTTAAGTAGATTGTGTTACACGATGAGATTGAATCCGTGATTATTGTTGTACTTTAATGTGAACTAAAGAAATAATGAAATTATTCTTCCTAATGTGAAATTGTGCTCATAAATTATTATATAATTTTCATGAGAACTGTCAATTTTAAAAGCTTGATGTTATTTTATTTCAAAATAAATTTTGTAAGATGAAGCCACTTTATTTCTCTTTTTAAATCTCTTTTAGCGATAATAACCATTTGTTGCGCCGACCGGAATGTCACTAATTCCGAACAGGGTTGTTGCTGATTTAGGTTTTTAATATATCGGCGGATGGTTATGCTGATATTAAAAAGTTATTTAAATAAAACATATCCTGGTAAAAAAATATTAATGTGACTTAATATTTTGAATAAAACAAGTTATCCATACTTCTATACTTATAAATGTAAAAGTGAGTTTGTTTGTTACGCTTTTACGCCTAAACCACTAAACAGCTTAAAAATTCTTTCACTAATAGAAAGCTACATTATCAACGAGTAACTTACGCTACTTTTTACCGCGATAACTGAGAAACACTCGGGCAAAAGCTAGGACTTAATAATTATTTTATTTTTTGTTAACAAAATATATTATACTATGCCTGTATAGTTTAAGTATACATATATATATATGATACATGTTTTTATAAGAATAACCAACGTTTAGTTATCTTTTTAATTTATAAAGAACACAATTTAAAAAATAAAAAAAACCGACTGCAAATAGAAAATTTAAAAGTAATGCACTAAAAAGACCGAAACTGAGCTTTTTTTACGATCTAAAACTTTTTAAACCAATTTATTTTTTAATTAAATTTATATATATTTCTGTGATCTCATTTTAATTTTCTAAAATTTGATACCCTACTGAGTAGGGTTTCTACTATGTTCACCCGGGTGATTTCACCCAGGTAAACATCAGGAGAATAAACATTCCTTGGCAGGCGGGTAAAAATAATCAATAGTCTTTTTAAGTTTTTATAATAAGATATTAATTCGATCTTTTTTTATGGTGTTTGGAGGCAGGCGAGCAGACGGGCCGAACGATTTTTTTTATGGAAGACTTGTTACCTGATGGAAAGTGACTACCGCCGCCAATAAACGCCTGCAACTCAGGAGTCACAAGCGCGTTGCCAGACTTTTAGGAAGGACTACGCTCTTTTCTTGAATGTTTGAAATATCGCAGACGATAACCTGTTCCACAGATTGGTTGTTTGAGGCAAAAAGTGTCTTGAAAAGCGCATAAGTGATGATGGGGATGGAAATTTTGCCGTGTGGAACGAGGGCGGAGAATTGCGGCCGGAAATAGTCCAAACTATTTCTCGGAGAACTCTATGATATATACGAGTACGATAGATAATGCAGAGTGAAGCTACATCTCTTGCAACCTGAAATAACTGCAAAAGTAACAAGTGCATTGCCCCCTTTAGTCCCTCCGCCCAAAATCATGGACAAGAGGAGAGTTATGGCTCCGGTAACCTCTCTCTCTCGCCGAAAGTTCGGTTTTGGCTGAAAAACCTGTTTTGGTCGGACACAAAAAATAACATTGCAACAAGAAAAAAGGCCTTTATAGGAAAAGATTATTATAAAATAATAGGTGTTGCTTCATTGCATTGTTTATTGGATCGCTTGAGGATTGCCTCCGATCTACTTTTTACGAAAGTCCCTTATTGGTCTAAGAGATATATTTAGACAAGTACGTAGTTAATTAAAACTAGTAACTCTTAATAAATATTGCACTATTGCGACATGAAATTAAATTGAGTGGGAAAAAAACTTTTTCTGAAGTAAACCTTACCATTTTGGAACCTTCTTACCAACACTAAGTCTTATTTCAGAGATTGTTATTTTCGAAAAATCTTGAGGCTTTATCATTTAAAACAATTTTGTTTATTACTTAGAAAACAGAATATAACCACGACTTGTTTTACTTGTCGGGAAATTTAAAAGCTGACAAACTGACTTAACTCGACATCGACGTACATACACGTACATACACTGCGTTTTGCACTAAAACAGTACAAAACAAAGCAAAACATAACAGTTATAAAAGATAGTTTTACACCTTTTTTTTTCCGTGTGGAAATCCCCTCGGATACCACCTGTCGGTGGCATGTCGGACATGAACCGACTACAACCGCACGCCGTCTCGGGTACTAACAGCCGGGGAACCATACCCTAGAAAGGAAGTCTCTAGTGCCCCGACATACCTCCTGCCATCTACAGACGAGTAGACAACCCCCCCCGTGTGGGAACCCCATGTTCCCTCTGCTCTCTGGAAGCGAGCGCGCTTCGCAACGTCACCCCGGCCTGCTTCTGCTAGGGTGACAGATGGCCTCACCTGTCACCCCCAGGCCTGCGCTTATGGAGGACGGATGTCGTTCTGCGACCTCCGGCGCCTGAGTCGCCTGCGGTACCTGGCCCGTTCCCGGGCCTGGCGGGCCGGAGAGTTCTAAGCCTCTCCCGGTCTCGATCAGACACACAGGTGATCCCCGAAACATCCTTTCCCAGTGATCACTTGCGTCAGTCGGTATGAGAGGGTCCCGTGACGCCTCTCGAGCCAATCTTCCATAACGGGTCTTACCGCCGCGATGACGGCGGCGTGCCCAGCGCTCGGTTTGTCCGAGTCGTTCCCTCCGCTCCCCTATGATGACCTGGCGGAGTTGAGATTTCCGGTCATCGATTTCTCGAATCTCGGTACACCGACCCACCTCCCGCGCCTCCTTGCGCCACTGATACAGAGCCGCAAGGGCTCTCGCCTCCAGGTCCCACGGTGGAGTTCCGGCCAGGAGACTCTCCGCCTCAAAGAGATCGTGCGGTACTCACTTCGGATCCTGATGGCCAGCTCCCGCCCATACTGGGCACCCGTAAAGGGCCATGGACCGCACATCCCCCGAGTAGAGTCTCCTGCAGGAGTCATTGGGTCCCTTCATGTTGGGCAGCAGCCGCGCCAACGCACGCGCCGCCCCAACCAACTTGGGGACCAGACATCGGAAATGATATCCGAAGTCCCATCGGCCATCGAGTACGAGCCCCATATACCTGATCGAGGGCTCGATGCCGATGCGAGTGCCACCTACCGTGAGGCTAGATCCCTCAGGTGGCTTCCTTCGAAGCCCGTGGAAGGGGCAGAGCCTCGGACTTGTGCAGAGCCACCTCGAGACCCAGCTGCCGGATTCGCTCAACGACTTGGGCAACCCCGGCCGTGGCCTTGCCGCGCACCGTCACGAGCGTATCGTCCGCGTAGCACACGACGACACCATCCAAGAAGGCACCACGAAGCACCCAGTCGTAGCCGATGTTCCACAAGAGTGGCCCTAACACCGACCCCTGCGAAACACCGCACGATATTTCACGCCTACTGAGACCGGTCCTACTGGGGTAGACGACGACTCTCTCCGACAAATATGCCCCAACTATGCGGCGGAGGTAGAGAGGAACTTCGTGATACACGAGCGCCTCCCTGATGCAGCTCCAGGGCAGAGTGTTGAACGCGTTGGCGATGTCCAAGGACACCGCCAACACCACTTCGCCCCGGGTAACTGTCTCCTCCCCGACAACGACGCGCCAGTCTTGGACACGACGCGCTAGCGAGGGGCATGCGAACGAGATGTCCACGATCGAACTACCCCTCGCCGTTACGAACGTGGCCACGGCCCCCCAGTTTAGGAGAACTGGGCCGAATCTTTCAGCCCAGTTTCCCAATGCCCTGCCTCTCGGGTTCGTGCGCAGGGAACCCCAAGCCTGCGACCAGGCGTTGAAGTCCCCCAGCACAAGAACCGGGTGGGGGCGACAGGCATCGACGACGACGGCCAGCTGAGCGAGCCATTGCTCGTACTCAGTTATGTTTCGGTTCGACGTGAAATAAGCGGCCACGACTGCTATATCCCCAACCATCGCCGCTGCGCAGCCCCGCCCCCTTGCAACCACTGCAAGAGGTGGAGTGCCGTCCAAGTCGGTCTCCCAGGCATGCCCGAGAAACCGATGGACATATGGCTCGGCGACAGCGGCGACGTTGATGGACCACTGTGCCATGCTCTGGAGCAGAAGATCCTGAGCATCGGCACCGTGGCCTAAGTTCACCTGGAGGATGCGGAGATGTGAATCCATCACTGGACTTCCATCCCCGCATCCCGCAGCGAACTTTGCCGCTGTCCAGCGGCACCCTCCGTCTGGATCAGCGGCCCGGAGGCGGGATTTCGGCCTCCCGGCTTCGGTCCCGATAGGGCACAGGCCTTACCACCAACCCGGTGGTCGGCAGGCTTGCCCCCGCTGCGCACCTAAAGCAA